CCCCCCCGCCGCTTCCGGCGGAGGGGCCCCGTCGACCTGTTGAGGTGCGTGGCCAGAGGCCTATTCGTATCCGACTACGACGTGCGGGGTCACAATGTCGCGTTCCGGCACGGATTCTGACTTAGAGGCGTTCAGCCATAATCCGGCAGATGGTAGCGTCGCGGCAATGCCTTGTCAGCATTGCCTGTGACCCCGCCTGCTCGCCTATAGACAATAATAATACCTATATAATCGTCTATATTAGCAGGTCGGAACCTCTGCAGCCTCCTCCCCGCGGCGCTCTTCAGCCACGGTTCGGCACAAAACCCCCAGAACCCAAATAATAAGGCCTAAAGACTATAAACCTTAGCAGATATTCCGTATAACCTTACGGGACCTCGGGGGCTACCAAAACCCTCCGTCAAGGTCCCTTATAGTTATATAGGCCTAAGATATAATAATCCTTTAGGAACGCTTATGCCTAAAATCAAGTACCCTAGGGCTCGAAACCTAGTACTTAGAGATAGCTAAGTATACCTAGAACTACTATGCTTAGGCACTGTTAATCCCTATAACATTCTAAGCGACGACCACCTCCCTTATATATCCACCGACCTCTTTTAGGATAGAAAATCGTCAATTAATATGCTTTGTTCAAAAAAGGTCTGAAAATGCACCAACTTTGTATGAGGATCGGAGCAAAAAACGTCGATCGCGGGCCCCTCAGACTCTGTTTCAAATTTCATTCGCGTATCAGGGAGCAACTTGTATAGTCTAGATGTTGACTAAGAAGCGCCCCGGTGCTCTCCCCGATATCACGGCGGCCCCCCGACACTATCAAGAGGTCAACTGGTCGAGATAAGGAGTACGAGGCACACGGAACTTCATAGAGGAGTACAGCAAGGAGTAGAGTGCAGAGCACAGAGTATCACTACTAAGTATACTAATGAGAGACGGATTATCACGAAGTACATAGCGACGTATGAACGTGTACTAATGCTCAAAATGACAAATACTAAGATAGAGAGTATCAACGCCCTATAAGGCATCCTTAAGAGTCACGTGTATGATAAGGCTATGCCAAGCCTCTATGGTCACGTTATCACGATGGCACGGCAACGAGCGAACGTGTATGCAGTATATGATATGAATACTAATGTCACGAACAGCGTATGCCGCATACATACCGCAGCCGAGACAAGTCCGACGTAGCCGAGCACCTCGGTCCTCGGCTACCCAGTCGGCCTAGCGACACTGGAGTCTCATATACGAGTCGCCGGCGACTCGTATATGAGAACTTCTCCTCCTTATGCTTTGAGTCGAGTTTCGACAGCACGTCTAGGAATACCTAATATACTGCTTATACTCTTCGCTGCACTCTGCCTATTCACACTAGGCTATTCCTAACAACTAAGACGAGAGAGAGTAAGAAGGAGAGTTACGAGAAGCGCAACGAGTATAAGGCTCTCTCTCGAGGTCAAAAGTACAACGAGGCTATGCTAAGCCTGTTGCTGTGATTGTACGGAGGACTTGTCATATTTCAACGGGGCCTGGGGCCTCGTCAGACTATATACTTAAGTGCCTAGTACGAAGTGTGTACGACGCGCCTCGTTAGCGCGTCGAAGCACCTTGACGTCTTTACAAGCCTTGGCAGAGCACCGAGGCACGATATTGCTAAGCTTTCATGGTCACGTGGCCTGCTAGGTCATATGGTGTCATGTGCCTTGTGGTGGCCCAATCGTGACACACGTTGCATTGACTCATAGTTGCATCCTTGCTTGCACAACCGTGTGACACAGGTATCTAAGAGTTGCGAGAGTGCGCGTGACAGAAGGCGGGGAGTGTGAATAAACGAGTGTTAGGCACTATGCTGAGTGTTGTAAAGACACGACGTGCGTCGTACTACTACCCAAAGTATATAGTCTGACAGATCCCCCGGACCTTGTTGATGAATCCGTAAAATCACACGAGCGATCTCGACAGGTCACGTGTCAGCTGAGTAGATGCCAAGCCTGTGAAGTCACGTGTTCTCAACACAGGATCTGTAACCAATCGCCTTAACCGTGACTACATGGATGGTGCGCGTCTCCAGGCTTAAGAATCGTCTTCACACAGCGGGCCTCCAGTTCTCCGTGTAATGCCTGCACTCCCGCTCCAGATTGCCTCTCTGGCCTTCTGTACATCAATGCCACGAGCATGTAGAACTGTCACCCAATCGTGAAAGAGCATTGAATTGGACTCGAAAAAGCAGGGATCGTGAGTCTGGAGCTCAATGAATTGCTCGACGTCCTGCTTGATGACAGTATTATCATACAGCCATAGGATCTGCGCTGGAGTGCATTTCAAGAATGATTGGACTAAATAGAAGTTCTGGAGATCACTGCCCCATCCTTGCATATGTCGAAAGCGCAGTTCCTGGATTGTCGGTTTATTTCGGTCGAGCTCCTGTGTGTTGCGGGAGCTGTGGAAGATATTCTCGATTGCCATGGAGCTTGCGGCAAGGTTGCGACGTGATGAAGATTGGAACAACGTGTTTGACAGCCGTGTATCGTCCGAAATCCTTGAAAATATCTCTCCATCAGTGGGGCAGATCTCCGAAGCAAGGAGCTGTTCGAAAGTCCACCGTAAATCCTCCAATTCATACAGGTCGTCTGTACACCATGTGCGTAGGAGCTGCAGCCGTTCTGTAGCTGCCAACATATCTAGGCGTATGGGACGGGGAGCCAATTTGGCGTAGAATGCCTGAGTGTAGCTCCAGAATCGATAAACAGCGCGTCTCAATCGGCGGGCTTCGCGGTCATCGAGAGAGCGGCGTTGGGCACTCTTTGATTCGGCCCATCTGAAGCTGGGGTACAGCTTAGCAAATCGGTCGGCGACACGAGCAATTGTATTGGCCTGAGCAAGTAACGTAAATGACAAGGGCGGGGACCGATGCAGGTGAAGCACTTGGTTGTTGTTCTGAGTCAAGAGTTGTAGGATATCCTCCATCGGGCCTATCTCTTTGTCCATTGCGATGAAAAACAATGACAGCTTTTGCGATTTGGTGAGAAGATTGTTGAAATATCGACACGCCAGTGAGAGACTGAGAATGTCCGAGACAGAGGTGAGGGATTCGAATATGCGAACGACGAGTTCCGGAGGGAGTTGATGCATCGCCATGGCACCTGTGTTGTTCCTTAGTGAACAGTTCGAGGTTGGCGCGAGGCAATATACTCAATGAATGTCAAGCCAGAAACAGAGTGGTATATGGGTAAGAGTAAGAGCGCAGCTATGTAGCTGCAGATGACTGTAGGGTTCAGGAGGTCGAAACCCCGACATTGGGGCTATCTAGATGTGATAATAGGTATACGCGCGCGGTCGTTGTACTTGATGGCGTGCATAGAATACAGCTCGGCTGTTCGCAAGCGCGAGCGAGTTTGATAACCCCCATTGTTATCATCGATGTTTGTAAACGGTGTGTTCGTAGCAATAAAGACAGAAAGGTTGAGTCTACTCACCGCTCTAATGTAGTAGGAACTGACTGGCTCAACTACAACTAGTACTAGTAGGGCTTGGCAGCAGGGGTGTTGGCTTGAGTCTTCAGCCTCGTGGGGAAAAAAGAGGGATGTTTGGCCAGTGTTTGGTTATGATTAGTTGACAATTGCAGCAGCACTTCTTTTATACTGCAGGCTCGGGGTACCAACTCCGGAGTGTGCCTCTCAATACAAGCGGTGAATGTACAACTATAGTGACTTGCTGCCTGGTTGAAGTGTCTGAACTCCCACCTTCCACCTTGGTTCATGTCGCGACTTCTGAGTTCGCGGATGGAGAGATAATGGTTCCGAATGCTTCCTCGGCCCACATAGTGTTGCATGTATAGCATCGAGCTTATGCGAAGATGGTTGTGCAGGCACTGCTTGTTCATACACACCTGATACACGGATACCCCTCGTGCTTGCAGTGACGATTCGATGACTTGTGAGAGCAGACTCGCCTGCACAACCTTGAAATAGCACCGTAAACGTGCCCGTTGATCTAACGGCCAATAAACGACGCGATACTGAGAGGGTACGGACAAGGAAATTCGGGTTCAAGTGAGATTGCAGCACAACCTCTAGATCGCAATTGCGTCTGAAATCGGCATCTGGCTAAGACATCACGGCAGATATCGACGCCATGTCCCCAACGACATCGTCAGAGTGTTTGCTCGTGGCAGTCGACAAGTCAAGAGGGCGTGTGGGGTGTAATTGATGAAGAGGGTAATACCTGGTATGGCAGCACGGCGAATCAATATCGCCCATGACGTGGTAGTATTGAGGAGTTATTTGGTCAGAAGGAAGCGCCGGAAGCTAGGCTCGTGGTTTGATTTTTGCGGTGTGTTTATCCAAACAACTTCGCATCATCAAGGCCTGCTGTCCTTCTAGTTGCGCCCGAGTCCAAAGCTAGCGCCTTTCGTTTGACCGCAAGCTCCTGCGCGCCTCCTTGCCGGCTGGCATACCTGCCTGCGTGACGCAGTCTGGTCTCTCTCCGAAGCTGGTTTGGACTGACAAATTGTTTGTTCTCGTAGATGACTGGGCCTCCGAAGCTTCCTTCAAGAATGACGACAGGTGTGAGAACAAAGCGTGGGCCAATTTCGACCAGAGAGACATCAGCGCCTTTGACATGTTCCTTGCTAGGTTTGTCGTGGTCCGATTCCCGAATCTCATAAACGCGGATCCAAACCTTGCCGTCGAGTCCGTATATGCCGATGACGCGGTCGATGAACGGTTTCATCCCTCGCACACCCTTAGGCGGTACGCAGAAGACGCCTCTCAGCATTTCCCGAAGCAGAGACCGATGTTCCTGCCCTGAAATTTGCTCATCAAAGCTCTTGTCAAATACCACCATGCCCCTTCCACCTTTCAGACAGTTTCCTCCGAACCCTAGCTCTGCCATAGTATGCACGTTCGTTACACTGAACTTGATCGTTGGACCGTTGGGGGCACGTGCCAACCAGAGATAGAGATCTTGGCCATGTTTCCGGGCTTCGAGAAAGAAGACATAGTTGCAGGAATGAAGATCGGCGAGGCCGTTGAGGGCGGAGTTGTAGTTGTTCGATGACTTGGTGTCTAGTTTGGTGTCTTTGTAGGTGTGAGGAAGTAACGAGTGGAGGTCGCTGAGGAGATGTCGGTGCCTAAACAGGTCAGGCATATTCTTGGACACGCAGTGATCGAACTAACCTGTATGATACTCCCCGAGAGGTCAACATCAGAATGCGATTTCGCATTTCGAGCGGCAACTGTGACATGTTGTTGTTTTTCCGGGTTTCAGAATGTGCTCCTCTACTGGGCGAGTCGGCCCGAACAGTATTACTGCTGTGGTCCGAAGAGACGGAGCTCATCTCATCCGAGTCGGAGGAGTCTCCAGAGCGCATAGCTGACTTGTAAGCAGAAGCCATCGTTGCAAGTAAGCGTACAATGACGAAGACAGGCAAGCAGATGCAAATGTCTCGAGAAATTTTATGTTATGCGGCGATAAGATACGGATCTGGAGATAAGAAGGGTTCTTGGCGACCTTTCATCTGGGACTGCGCTGCCACTGGCAGTGCACTACCAGGCACCTACCAGTGTGCCAGGTACATGTAGGTAATAATAGTCTATTGTGGTAGTACTCTAATCCAGAGTACGGAGTACTAAATACATAGTGTTCCTGCCTCGGACCCTTACTCCCTGACATAGTAGCAGAATGATAAACTTGTCAAATGTATTCTGCAAGGTGATAGCAAATGGTGTACGGTGGAGATGAGGTATCCGAGAGGATGATGGCCGTCGGCTCAATGCTCTCGCGGGGGGAGGTCTCCTTTCATCCAGAGATCCTCGGGACTGGCCATGACGAGTGCCACCGATCCCGATGGCCAACCGGTGGAACCTCAACCTTCACAGCAGCGATTCGGCCCTCATGGAAAGCTTTGCTCAATGTGCTGATTGCAATGCCCGCACCGATGCAAGCTCTCATGGCATTTTGGACATCTTTCGTCCATTCTCTTTCCACGACGCCATACCGTGTTGCGCCGAGACTTGTGTTGGGCGAGGATTTGACCTCTTCAGTCCTGGAAAGAGGCTGCAGGTGCCATTTCTCCCTCATAACTTCATCCCATGCCTTTCTTGCCACCTGAATCAGTTGTGACGCCTGCTGGAGTATCACTGGGTCAGACAAATTCCGTAGTGATGCCAAATCTTTGGCCACATCGACATCTATAGGTTCTGGAACGGACAAATGCATGAACGGTCGCATCCTGAGTTCGTATCTTAGGAGCTCCGATGCGTAGGCGGGGTTTGGGTTTGTCAACTGTCCATGTCGTTGAATGACAACGAGTACACGATGCAAGGCTTTCGACATGGCCTCGGTGGCCTTCAGCCAGGTGAAGTGCCTGTAGAGGTTGCGCAAGGTCTCTCGCACTGCATTGGGCGAGGTTTGTGCTGAAAGCTGTTTCGAAGAGACAAAGAAGCTGATGCGCTCTAGATGTGAAAGATGGGTGCTCGAGAGAAACGAGAGGTACCAATAGATTTCCGTGAATTCGTGTGGAGCGTAGATGGAGAGTTCGAAGCCGGTCTGCACAACGATCCGAAGCTGCATGAGCTTATGGTGGTATACCCAACTGCTGAGAGAATATGAGAGAGTCAGTTCTTCCCCAGGCGGGTACGGCATTGGCTCTTCTCGAAACAAAGACTGGGCAAGGGTATCCATCTCCTCTGCCTCGGCCTGAATTTGATCCCACTCGAGTGCTGCATGACATAGCGTGCGTCTTACCCGACATCGATTGAGGCAAAACGTCCGGAATAAATTGAGGAAGGAATGGCCGCATCGGTTCATGAAGGAATCCAGTCGGGAGCAGAAGTGGAATTTTGCATCGGTCGCTGTGTCATCCAATCCAACACCATGATCGAGTAGTGGTACGATTGGTCTGACCAAAGATTGGATGTCTTGTGCTATGAAATCCTTGACAGCGAACTTGCCTAGTACGGCGTCATGACAGGTCAGGAAAGACTGGAGAAGAGCCCGAACATAGATAGCAGGCTGGGGTGACTGCGCCATGAACGTCTGGTACGCAACTAGCAAATCTCCGCTGGCAGTAATGTCAAAGACTTGAAAAGCAATCGTCGATTCGGTGATCAGCTGTCGTAGGAAATCGAACGCTTTAGGTCGTTCAATTGCGACCATTGGCCGCGGTGGTACACTGCTGGCGAGCTTTCGTTGAATTTTCAATGTAAATGCTTCGTTTGCGGTTGCGCGACCTAGGATTGCCGAGGATTCGACCATCTTGATATAGGCAATGCTACGGTCGAGATGTTCGATGGTGCTCCGATCCCCAAGTGCGCAGGACTGGAACAGTCCAAGAAGAGATTGCCGTAGGTCTAGCCGGGCTTTCAAGGCGTCCTTCAGGCCTGCCGGCAAGCTGCTGTCATGCAGCCAAATACGTGCATTTTGGAGCATTACTAACACTTCATCCACAGGAAAATCGTGCAATAATGGCCTGTTGTAGATTTGGGTTGCGAAATCTTCCTCCTGGGTGATGCTGATTAGCAATGGGAGGTCCGTGAGTCTTACACGATCATACCTCATAATAATGCTCACTCGTAATCATCGATAGAACGAGGTCACAGCACTTGATCAGACCAATGCAATAGGGTTGGAAAACATCTAGGATGAGGGAGGGAGGCCGGGTCGCAACGGGATCGCCTCGATCAAAGCGAGCATCGGTGAGCTGCCTTGGGACCGGCCACAATAGTCGTTCGATGTGGACCGATGTAAAAAGTGTTTGAGATAGAGGATATCCCATGTGCCATGCTACCTACCTGGAGTCAACGACTGTCCACCGAATCGAACGCACATGTCTCATACCTCGCGACGTATCAGTTCATCCATCAACCATACTGTTTCTTCGGCAGTTGCAACCGTTGACAAACCAAGCTCTTCATCGAGGTCAGGATCAAACACAAGCGACCCGCTGTCCATTTTGGGATCTCCAATCTGTAAGCAGTAATCAGTTTCAGCACTCGATAACCTAGCGAGGCTCTAACCTCCAAGGCGCCGACAGCTTCAAATAGCGTGAAGTCTTCATCTTTGACCAGCTTGCCAGGTTGCAGCCCTGCGCACTGTCAGCAAACCGGTCCGGGGAACGTTGATTGTAACACCGACGAGATGCCGCATCGCGAAATTGTCGCGTGATATTGCTTATTTGTGTATTGGGGTGAAGAATTTGCGGTTGCACCATGACCTTCGGTTATTGCTGCTGATGAGCCGTGGTAAGATTCAAGGGTTGAAGGAAGTTTCATGATGCCAGTCGCCGATATGCATAGACTAATTCAACTGGCCAATCAATGATGACAGCTTGGAAAACCCCAATAAATGCTGCGTGTATCTGTGATATTTACGACACGACGTTTATGTTCACAATAGACCAAGTAGCGGATCACACGATGAAGATATACAAATGTCAAGATTGTGCAAATGGTATCTGCGGATTCCAACCAGCCAGAACCTTGCGTGATGAATTAATCATTTTGACTTGGTGTGATATTTGCAGACCGGGAGGTTTGACGCTCTAATCCACCTTCTGCTGTCTCCCAGCCGTGTCATATGGTGTCTTTTGCCATCTATTTTGCCTCCTGGGTTGCAAGCTCGGCCATCGCATCCGCATTCGCAGCTCCTAAGCTCTTGTTCTCGCCCTGTTTGCCGTTCTACCAATGTGCGTCAGGAAATAGGTCGACGCAGATGACGGGGCACGACGGCGGAAAACTCACCTGCCACTTCGCGAACCTTAGGTCCATCTCGCCTCTTCTCTCAGCTTGAAGTCGAGGTCCTTCTTTGAGGGATCGTCGGACCACTCTTGCGGCAATTGCCAGATATCGGTTGTAGCTGGTAGTCAGACAGTCAGTGTCGGGATATGCTGGAAGGTAGGGGAAACAAGGCGTACGTAAGACCAGCAGCTTTCCAAGCGAAAGCCATCGTGGGACCGTGGGACGAGCGCGGATGGGAAAGGTTGAGGTTGATACAGATCAAATTGGATGGGGAACTTCAACAGAGCAGCTGCGGAAGCTCGAGCTGCGGTGTCCGCCAAGCTTCCGGGGCGGAACAACTTTAATGCGACGCCACATCTCCGCCGAGGAAGCCGGTGGGCAAAATGGGCTATTGAGACACAACAAATTTCTTCCCATCTACGGTGGCTGCTTATTGGAATGGTGAATATCGATAATTTTTTGGGTGGAGATGTCCGCATTCTAGTGTCAAGCTGCGACACAATAACTACCCTCATTGTGCAGCCTTGTACTTCCAGGTCATCTCCTGTACTACTATCTCGATTATAATTATTCCCGTCATTTTCTCGACAGTCTGAGCTTCGTGTTAGGTGGCCAGTGCCTGCTAGTATGTTCGCGCTGAGCGATCCTGAGCCTGATCAGCTTGTTTGGGATATTCTATACGTACACTGAGATCATTGTGTACTGGTGTGCCGAGAAAACAAAGACGGATAGTGGTAGATAGATGCCCAGATCTCGTTGACTTAAGAAATATTGAAACTCTCAGTCGAAGTATCCAAGAGGATCGAACCATGTCAGTTGACGGTGTCTTATTGGCTAGACTCCTTCTTGGACTGATAGTGAAGATAAGCTTCTGACGCTGTTCAAAGCCGTGCAGGGCTCATGGAATAATAGGAAGAATAAATTTGCAACACCTCCTGGGAATATTGTTCAAAGATCGCGGAGAATGACGACGGAATCGTCCAAGCGACTGATCTCGGCCATGAACCAAGCTTCCTTTTGTCGCCACTGAAACAACACTTGAAGTTCGGCAGGAGAGAGCATTTCTTCTTCACTCCCCTGTACATCAGTTCTTTCGACCTTGCTTAATGTTGATGCCAGTTTCTCTCGTTCAAGCTGCAACCGTTGAAACAAACGCGCCATGGTTTTGTAGAGTCTGCCCAGAAACACTTTCCGAACCCTTTCCGGATCGTAGAACCAAAGGAATATCGTCCGATTGGGCTGTCGTTGGGGTTCTCGCGGGACTTCTTGAAGTTCTAGTAACCCCATCATCTGCAATCGAGCCAAGCATTGTCGAAGTTCCTTTGCGCCTAACAGTCCGATCTCTTGCAAAGACTTTTCATCCAACTTCCCCTTGTCCATGAGTATACGCACGGTTCTTAGAGCCGGCCCACTCAGACTCTCGCCCATGAGTCTCATCAACTCTTTGTCGCGTAGAAAATTGTTCAGCTCTGTCTTATGCAGCAGCCAATGGCCCCCGACATGGTCCTGTGAGAAAAAGTGGAAAGGGCCTTCTGCTAGTACTGCCAACTGGTGATCAATCTGTTGAGGGTGCATTGCGCCATCAGTGTGCGGACCACGATGGCCGTTGACGGCATACTCTGCCAGAGGCCAACCATTCTCAACACCTTCGCCAATTTGATTCTCAAGTGTGGCAATCTCGGCCAAGTCACTGCATATCTGTGCCACATTAAGTCTCTGTATCGGCGCTGGCGTTGATGTACAATCCCGGAGCTTGTACGGACCCGAATCGACATCGGCCTGTAAGCAGGCTGCTCGAGCCACCTGTGCGACTGGTTTGCCAAACAACTTATCAGCAGCAAAAGCCACCTTTTCGTTGCGCACAGAGATAACAAGGTTGGAGTAGTCAATGCAAAGCATGGTTTTGTACTGTCATAGTTAGCTCGGGGAACTATATCGGCTGAACCAAACATACCTCGCTGTATGTCATGTTTTCGCCATTCAAACCCTGCTCTTGAAGATCCTGCAGGACCGATGTGGACGAAATAGAGGCGTCTAGACGTGACCCGAGTTCTATATCAACCCTGCGATCGATGTCCGACTGAATCTTCTTTCCTTTGGCTGCCGGCAACCCCTCCAAATGAGCGAGATGCCGCTCGATGTCTCGGCGGGCGTCGAATTGGGATTGGAAGTGGGCATCGCGGACGCACACAATAAATCTGTTGTCTATCAGGTGTTTGAGGGCAGACCGAAAACCGGCTCTGCTATTCGTGTTCACCCCGGGTGGGGGGGAGTGGGCGAGACGACCATTTGTATATGCGGCAGTTTCTTCTTGAGCAATTAGGCGGTCATATTCGGACACTCGTACCTCAAGTTCATCAGCAGTGGCATAGCCGAGGATAGTGAGATGCTCCATGATGCTTGCGGCTGGTGGTCCATATCGCTTCGCGACGAGATGGACAATTTTGCCGGTGCGAATGAGATTGTAGGCACTGTTCGAGTTTGCTTGGTAGGTCGATAGGCCGTCAGGGGTGGTATGATGATAAATTAGTCGAAGCTGGATTAACGCAGCTATTCCAGCCTTAACTTGGCGCAGGGGAAGTCGGCATCTTTGTGCAAGTTGGTTGGCAGAAAGCCTGCCCTGTAGGGTCAAGTGTTGGAAGATTTGCTGTTAAGCTGATTAGTCCTGCAGTATATACAGGCGGCGAATACGGACAGCAAGAAATCCACCGTAGGTATCTTGGACGGCAAGGCAGCATAGCCGTGAAAGGTCCTGTCTAGGAATCAGCCTTACAGCACTTCGTGCACTGTATGACAAACCGTCCTACCTCCTCCATGTTTCCTATTGTTCGCACGTGACAAAAGAGGAAAGGTAAGGTAATCGCAGGGGTGAGTAATCGTTAAAATCGTGCGGCCTCCATCGCCTACTTTGCTCTCATGTGCCGAGGAGGGGAGAAGACTTGACGACAACAATTTGCCTGTCCTTTGAATGCAGTGCAGGGAAAATTGCAGGTGGCGGCCTTTCCTCTGCTTGTAGAACGGATTCTGAGAGGGAGTCGTAGTACGTAGTAGTAGGGAAAGACGTCTCGGGAAAGAGTTTGAGAGGCTTGGCAGGCTAAACCGGAACCGCCAATGGCAGGGCATTCAATTCCGCAACCTGAACCTCCACTGCAGCTCGATCCCATCCAACTGCATGTTGAGGTAGCTCCCTCGTCGAACAAACGCACCTCAACCCAATTCACCTCCAGCCAAATACACCGCTCTCACCATGGCTTCTCCAGCTTCGCTGGGCTCCAGGGCCTTGCGGGCCAGCCGTCGGGTTCCCGTTGCCTCGTTCCAGCGAAGAGGGTTGGCGGCTGCAGCTTCCGGAAGCTTTCAATACGAGACGGGTGATTCTTCTGGCATCAAATATGCAAGCAGAGATTTGCCAGGTCCGACGACAACCCTGACCGTGGTCGCAAAAGCTGGCACAAGATACCAACCCCTTCCCGGCCTGTCAGATGCGCTGGAGAAATTTGCGTTCAAGGTTTGGCTGCGCCTGCACGCTTCGGTAACATCCTGGGCTAACTGTCAACAGTCAACCACCAAACGATCGAGTTTGCGCATTACTCGTGAGTCGGAGCTGCTCGGTGGTAATCTATCCGCCTATCATTCCCGCGAGAACCTTGTACTTCGAGCCAGGTTCCTCCGCGAAGACCTTCCGTATTTCACAGAACTGTTGGGAGAGATAATCTCCAAAACCCGGTACACAAGTTCGTACACCCAATCCGTGTTCATCATGTTACCCATTTAACTCTATATAGCACACGAGCTTGATGAGGAGGTAGTTCGCGTTCTCAAACTCGGACAGCAGGGCCTTCTCGCAAGCCCATCATCACTCGCCCTGAACTCCGTCCACGCCGTTGCCTTCCACCGCGGATTGGGCGAGCCATTGCATCCCACTTCCTCGACCACAATTTCCAAATATCTCGACGTGAGGACCATTGCCGAATTTGGTCGCGCTGCTTACGCTCGATCTAACATCGCGGTGGTTGCTAACGGCGCAAGTCACTCGGAGTTGTCAAAGTGGGTGGGAGAATTCTTCACCGACACTGGAAATGGCTCTAAGACACTCAAGTTGTCGAGCCCCACTTCGAAATACTATGGCGGCGAGGAAAGGATTGCACACAACTCTGGGAACGTGGTGGTCATTGGCTTCCCTGGGTCCAGCTCGTTTACGTCTGGCTCGTCCTTCAAGCCAGAAATCTCGGTTCTGGCAGCGCTTCTTGGAGGAGAGTCTAGTATCAAATGGTCGCCAGGCTTCTCGTTGTTGTCTCAAGCTGCCAAGGAATTCCCTCAGGCTCACGTATCTACAAACCATGCCACATACTCAGATGCGGGGCTGTTGTATGTCACCATTTCTGGGGAGGCACTTGATGTTGCAAAAGCAAGCACGAATGTGGTGGAAGCGCTGAAGAAGATTGCGTCAGGCCAGGTTGCGGAAGAGGACATCAAGAAGGCGACGGTGTTGGCCAAGTTCAGGGCCCTTGAAGCCGGTCAACAGACTGATGCTGGACTCGAAGCCACTGGGTCTGGCCTGATCACCCAGGGCAAAGCGTTCCAGATTGATGAAATTGGTGCGGCAATCGACAAAGTTTCTGGCGACAAGGTCAAAGCGGTAAGTGTCGCCTCTGGTACGCAGTTACCGTTTGATGCTAATTTTGACCTAGGCTGCCAAACAATTACTGGAATCCAAGGCCTCGGTTTCAGCCGTTGGAGACTTGTTCGTCCTTCCATATGCGTCGGAAATAGGTCTGACGGTCTGAACAAGAGGGTGCGGTGTTTCTTGATTAGGCAACGATGGTGTAAAACTTGTAGATATCAGAACAAACCCTTGACAGTCATACAACAATTCCACCTATCTTGGGTTCAAATCGTACTTCGTATACGAGGGTACAGTCTCTTCTCACAAACCCCCAGAACTGGTATCGGCGAACGTGTTCAAGTGGCGACAACTTCAGCTCTGGCCAATTTGTATCTCAGCCTTCGTTCGGCCAATGTGCAGATGCTGCTAAGCGCCATTATCGCCTTGATGGGCGAGCCTATACTGGGAATTATAGTGAAGAGAGTGAAAACTTGCCCCAAGCTCACGGGTAGCTCACGAAGTGCGTGCCGCTTTAAACTCATCCACCCTGCCACTCACCTTCTCGCTGACCTTCTCGCTTACCTTACTGACCTTGTGGAATCCCCAGATTGGAACAGTTCTCATCGCGGAGAATCTTGGTTTCGTCATCCATGTCTCTGCTGCTACACCTGTATGTATAAAGTGACGCTTATTCTGCGTCCAAGCTGAGGTGGAAGTCCAAACATTATCATAGTCGTGTTGTCAGGGTTCACATCTCAATGGCCCGAAGACCGAGACACGGGGCTGAACTTGGGTGCTTTCTTGCTCTGTCAGCCTCGTCTCTGTTTTTCCGAACTTTTTGTACTCAAATCATCAATGGCTGCGCTGGTCCGAAGCATCTCATGCCTCTGCGTTTTGCTCCGCAGCATCATCGCCCTTTATTCAAATCCCTCTTACGGCGAGCGGCCTGATGCTTTCCGAAGCAGGCTTCCGTTGGACAACTCTGTCACGCGGCATGCTTGGCCGAACTGCTAGTCGCTCAATAGGGTCTTCTCTTTCTGCTGTTCCTTGGGCGGGGTAGATGGCTGGTCTGATTTGGCGTGTTTTTCACACGCTGGAGAGGCGAGATTGGTGCTGATCGAGGCCTTGGATCGCACCTCGCTTGCGAAGAGTGCTACTTCAGCTGTTTCAGTAGCACCTTAGCCGCCAGCCAGAGGCTGTGGAAAGGTCATCATGTTGATATGGAGCAAATTCCCCCTCGCTTCATAGACCTTTTTGACATGGTCGGCTTTGCTGATGTATCTGAACGTCGAATAGAGACTTTCTTTCAAGACGACGCCCGAGATTCTTGAGGCAACGTGCATGACGAGATCCTGGCCTTTTCCGTATTGCCCTGAACCCCAGACAAACAAGAATGACTGGGGATCATACGCGAGAAGCACAAATCTTCGAAGACGTTTCGGCTTTTTCGTCGCCATGGTAGCACCGTCTCTCTCGACAGCAGCTTTGCTTGGATACTCGCATTCTAGAGAGAAGGGACGCTTTTGTATCGCCCCTACAGGGGAAATGACTCGAGATGTATCGGGTCCTGAATCCTCTTCCTAACGATGCCACCGCAAGCTACTTCAACGATGGCTCCCATGTTGTCTCGAAGCCAAGATGTGTACTTCTCGTGGCAGGCTATGACTTCCTTTGGGTATTTTGCAACCCATCAACGATGTCTCTCTTGGCAAATGATCAAAAATCAAAAATCACGTTGTTGTCTGTGGCGATCCAGATTGTAGCAGGAGCCAGATAACACGGGTTTGACTCATCTATGGTTTCAGTGCTGGACAAATCGAAGACGGCAAATGACAGATTGTGTAGATGAATTGCAAGCCGGCTATTGAGATCACCTGGAGGATGGCAGAAATATTGCTTCAACCCTGACCATCTTGTCGATGAGCCAGCGACTGCTCACAAGGCTGCCCTGGCGATATCTTCTGCACCGATCATGGTGACCTCGTCTGCCCTGCTTGCACCTACAATCCTAAGTGTATTAAACCACTTAGAACAGATGTCATGTGCTGCCTATCACAAACCCTTTGACAGAAACCGAGCCTTGCTCGGGGCAGATGGGAGGGATCCAGACTGATGGCGAAATTTAGAATCCGCCTACGATTAGTGACTTGTAAAGTCATAGACTTAAGGCATGACTTTAGGTAACTAACTAACTACCTAAGGCAGACACACCACTTGCTCTATAGTGCAGAGCGAAAATACCTCTTACTGTCCACTTCGGTCCGGAAGACGGAGAATGCCAGATATGAACAAATCGGCAATATGACCATTCACCAGTCTAGATCGGTCTTTTGAGGGAGTTTGTTAGAGGTGTGTTTATGAGCATGGCGTGAGGCCGTGGATGTCATCGTGGTCAAGAGAAGCCGATGAAGGAGAGAGCAATTCTCATAGCACTTATGCATTCATGCTCGAGGGATATGTGCCACAATCCGGGGTGCGTGCTTGAACCTGTAAGTGGTGGACGGAAGTGGGACGGGGCTTCGGATCCGGAGGATTCCCGAGATCATAACACTGCATGAATAGCAGATTAGTCTGGACTCTGTACTCCGTACTAGTAACTCCATACGGATATGCATATGTGCATATGTAGGTATTATTGTGGTACAGTAAACGTAGGAGATGGTCCATGCCAAGGAAGGTCAGAGGCACTCGGAGCACTACGAGTCCATTCCGTCCTCCGCCCAGGCGGTTGTCACCACAGTGCCCGATTATTGGGAACTTGGCCATGGCTTTCTCTGCCTGCCTACTTGCTTGCTTGCTTGCTTGTCCACAAAGTCCTGGCAGAGTACTCCGTACTCCGGCAGTCATTCATTGCTCCATGCACGCTACTACTTTAGTACTTAGTACTGTACTCCGTAGAGATGCAGCCAACCCGGGCAGATCCCGATCACGCCAGCACGGGACAAGTTAGTTCCACACAACACGCGCTTAAAGCGATACCTACTTAACTTGTCGGGTTCCCTGTTCCCTCCATCCTCTCATGCTCCGGGACAAGCTTATCACAGTCTCCTCCGTGCGCTGCCTCTGTAGCAACCAGTTCGGCGCCCATGGCATCTCATTCGCCGTAATCACCACTGAATCGAGCGCCGTTTTCGAACAACATGGCCGAGAAGCCAGTGGAGTCCGAGCCCAAGGGCCTTGAGCCGGAGGCGGATGATAGCTCGAGCACACCTGCACATGATGACATCTGGAGCGACAAGAATGGCGGTGCTGACATCGAAGCAGAAGGTAGAGCCCAGGTCGCACGATTGGCCCGCCAGGTCACCAACGCCTCCATCTCCAGCCAGGCAGGGACGGTGAACCCGTTCGCTGGTAACACGGATCCTCGGTTAGACCCCAACTCGGGCAAATTCAGTGCGGAAGCCTGGGTTAGGAACATGGTCAAGATCGTCTCGCGAGACCCCGAGCGTTTCCCCCGTCGCACCGCCGGCGTGTCCTATCGCAACCTCAACGTGCATGGCTGGGGCACGCCAACCGATTACCAAAAGGATGTCGCCAACGTCCTGTTAGAAGGGCCAGCTTTATTCAATCGGCTGCGAGGCAAGGGACAACGGAAGATTCGAATTCTTCAAGATTTCGATGGTTTGGCGAAAAGCGGCGAGTTACTCGTCGTTCTGGGCCGTCCCGGAAGGCAAGACCACCATCCTTCTTCCCCAGTAAGGAATTGGTGCTAATTTAGCTGGCAATATAGTGGCTGTTCGACGCTGCTCAAGACCATCGCAGGCAAGACACATGGCTTCTACGTCGATGAAGCGTCTACCATCAATTACCAAGGTAAGCAGTCTCCCACCGCCGCGGTTGAAGGCGTGCGGGATTCTCTGACTGGATGTCTGTGTTAGGTATCCCCAAGGAGGTGATGCACAAGCACTTCCGCGGCGAAGTCATCTATCAAGCCGAAACCGATGTCCACTTTCCACAGCTCACGGTCGGACAAACGCTGTTGTTTGCAGCTCGGGCCCGAGCCCCGCGTAACCGTCTTCCCGGTGTCACCCGCAACCAGTACGCACAGCATATGCGAGATGTTATCATGGCAGTTTTTGGTATCTCCCACACCATCAACACCAAGGTTGGCAATGACTTCATCCGCGGAGTTAGTGGAGGTGAGCGGAAGCGCGTGTCAATTGCAGAGGTCGCCCTCAGTGGTAGCCCTCTTCAATGTTGGGATAATGCCACACGTGGCCTCGACAGCGCCACCGCGCTCGAGTTCGTCAAAACCCTCAAGCTCTCCACTGGCCTGGCTGGCGCTACCGCAATCGTGGCGATTTACCAGGCATCTCAGAGTGCTTATGATGTAAATTCCGACATTCCCGATTTCTGGAGTATTTCACGGGCTGACAAATGAACCCGGTAGTTGTTCGACAAGGTTGTTCTACTGTACGAGGGGCGACAGATCTACTTCGGACCGACCACCCACGCCAAAAAGTACTTCACCGATATGGGCTTCATCTGCGCGGATCGACAGACGACAGCGGATTTTCTGACCTCCCTGACGAACCCCGCAGAACGCATCATCGCCGAAGGCTATCACGATCGCGTTCCTCACACCCCCGCGGAATTTGCTGCTCGGTGGAGAGATAGCGAATCCAGGCAGCATCTACTTCGTGAAATCGCCGATTTCGAGGCTGCATACCCGTTCGGGGGAGATTCTCTCGAACAGTTTAAACTGTCTAGAAAGGCAAACCAGGCAAAGCACATGTATGTATTCCCCTGTCCGTGGCCAGGGTGAAAGACTGAGCAATCAACATGCAGGACAGTCAAATCACCCTATACAATCTCGATTCCCATGCAAATCCGTCTCTGCATGTCTCGTGGCTTCCAGCGACAGAGAGGAGACTTGACCATCTTGTTCACCACCGTTTTCGGCAATCTGCTCATGGGAATCATCACCAGTAGCGTGTTCTACAACCTTCCCGACAGCACCAGCAGCTTCTACAGTCGTGGCGCCCTCCTCTTTTTCGCAGTCCTGTTCGCCGCAATGCAGAGCGCGCTGGAGGTAGGTCGCGGAATCTGTGGTGAAACTGAGCACCGTGGCTGACCGGAACAGATTCTGGCCCTCTTCGTCCAACGGCCGATTGTCGAGAAGCACAACGACTATGCGCTCTACCACCCTTTCGCTGAGGCGGTAGCGTCGATGATGGTCGATCTCCCAACGAAGGTTGTGGTCAGTGTTTCGTTCAATCTGGTACTCTATTTCATGACCAATCTACGGCGGACACCGGGGCATTTCTTCGTCTACCTGCTCTTCTCTTTCGTCACTACACTGGCCATGTCTAGTATCTTTCGCACTATCGCCTCCATATCCCGGACTCTATCTCAGGCGTTGGCCCCTGCGGCCATCTTCATCTTAGCTATTGTCATTTATGCGGGCTTCGCCTTACCGACACCCAACATGCACCCCTGGTTCCGGTGGATCAACTACATTAACCCAATCGCCTACACTTTTGAGAGTATGATGGTAAATGAATTCCACGACCGAAGATTCCCCTGTTCCATATATGTCCCGACGGGGCCTGCCTACACAAATGCGAGCGGCCTCGAGCGAGTTTGCCAGGCAAACGGTGCTCGAGCTGGACAAGATTTTGTCAATGGGGATGACTACCTCAATGGATCCTTACGCTACTACAATAGCCACCTTTGGAGGTATTGATTTCCCGTCAAGGTAGCGGACGTAGCATATGCTGACAAGTTTTAGAAATTTGGGAATTATCATAGCTTTCTGGATTGCCTTTACCCTTACCTATTTGGCCGGGACAGAATTGGTTACTAGCAGCCGCTCCAAGGGGGAGGTTCTCGTCTTTCGTCGTGGTCATCTTCCTCCACAGGTCAAGGAGAGTAATGACGAAGAGTCTGGGCTGACCGAGCCTGTGGGCAGGCACCCTGTTGGTGACCCAAAACATGAACTAGATGACGAGAAAGAAGGCCAGACTGCAATTATCAAACAAACCGCCACCTTTCACTGGAGAAACGTATGTTACGACATCAAGATCAAGGGTGAAGACCGGCGGATCCTGGATCACGTTGACGGCTGGGTGAGGCCAGGCACACTGACCGCCCTTATGGTGAGTGCTTCTTTCAGAAATAGACCCTGAAGCGTTACTAACATGCCTTGCAATCTAGGGCGCAACCGGAGCTGGCAAAACCACGTTGCTGGATGTTCTCGCTAGCCGCGTGACCATGGGTGTTGTCACTGGGGACATGATGGTCGACGGACACCTCAGGGATAATTCCTTCCAAAGAAAGACCGGCTATGTACAGCAACAAGATCTCCACCTCCAAACCGCGACAGTGCGTGAGGCCTTGCGGTTCAGCGCCCTCCTCAGACAACCGAAGTCCACGCCTCTGAAGGAGAAGCTTGACTACGTGGAAGAAGTCATCAAGCTGCTAGAAATGGAAGACTACGCCGGCGCTGTGGTTGGGGTGCCTGGTGAAGGGCTGAATGTCGAACAACGAAAACGCCTGACGATAGGCGTGGAGCTTGCGGCAAAACCCCAACTCCTACTCTTTCTCGATGAACCCACGTCGGGCCTCGATAGCCAGACTGCCTGGTCCATTTTGAGTCTGATCACGAAATTATCACACAATGGCCAAGCCATCTTGTGCACCATCCATCAACCATCCGCCATGCTCTTTCAGCGCTTTGATCGACTTCTCCTCCTCGCCAAGGGGGGCCAGACTATCTACTTTGGGGACATTGGGGAGGAATCTAAGACATTGACTGGCTACTTTGAAAGCAAGGGCGCCCAGCCCTGTGGGAAGGAGGAGAACCCGGCAGAATGGATGTTGAGGGTGATTGGCGCCGCCCCAGGAGCGACCACCGACCAAGATTGGTTCCAGAATTGGCGCCAGAGCAAAGAGTACGCCGAGGTGCAAAGGACGCTGGACGACATGCAAGACCGGCTCTCCAAAATCCCCATCTCGACGGATCATGAACACCTGGAATCCTTTGCCACACCATTATGGTACCAAGTCCAGGTCTGTACCCGGCGGGTTTTCGAGCAATACTGGCGCACCCCGTCATACATCTACTCCAAGACCCTCCTCGTCACCGCTTCTAGTCTGTTCATCGGCTTTTCCTTTTGGCGAGCCGGCACGTCGCTCCAAGGGCTCCAGAACCAGATGTTCTCCTTCTTTATGCTGCTGACTATCTTCGGCAATTTGGTCAATCAGATCATGCCTCAGTTCGTCACGCAGCGGAGCCTGTACGAGGCACGCGAGCGCCCATCCAAAGCCTACTCCTGGCAGGCGTTCCTGTTCGCCAACATTATCGTGGAACTGCCCTGGAATTCGCTAATGGCCGTCATCTCTTTCTTCTCCTTCTACTACCCGATCGGCATGCAACGAAACGCGAGTTGGACGAACACGGTGCACTCGAGGGGTATACTGATGTTTCTTCTCATCTGGGCCTTCTATCTTTTCACCTCGACGTTCTGCAACATGATCATTGCGGGAATCGAGACGGCCGAGAACGGGGGCAACATAGCGACGTTATTGTTCAGTTTAACCCTGATCTTCTGCGGGTAAGTGTCACTCCATTTTGCTTCCTCTCTCCCCAGCACAACAGCTTACACGAATCACAGTGTCCTGGCAACGCCCACGGCTCTCCCGGGCTTTTGGATCTTCATGTACCGCGTCTCCCCATTCACCTACCTCGTGAGCGCTGTCCTGTCGACCGGCCTGGCAAACGCCCCGGTCAAATGCTCCAAGATCGAACTCGTGCCGCTCCAACCTCCGAGTGGCATGACCTGTGGCCAGTACCTCGGCCCCTATATTGACATGGCCGGCGGCTACGTGACCGACCCAACTGCGACGCGGAACTGCGAGTTCTGCTCTGCCTCCTCGACCAATGCCTTTCTAACACAGCTTTCCATCAACTACGCCGACCGCTGGCGCAACTTCGGACTCATGTGGGTGTACATCATCTTCAATGTTTTCGGCGCCGTGTTCCTGTACTGGCTGCTGCGGGTGCCCAAGAACAAAAACTGGCTGCCACGTGTGCCGAGCCTCAATTTTGGCAGAAAGCGTACGACGGCTGGTGATGCGGGTGCGGGTGCAGGTGTGGCTGGCACCAATGTCGACGAGCCTGATGGCCGTGTTCCGCGTAGCCACGATCCCAGCTCCCCAGGGTTCGGCGTTTTCCCACAAGCACCTTCGTTCAGGAGCCCGACGAGAGGATAAAGACAGTGTCACGTTGCGGTGCGATGCGGTGCGGCTGGATGGACTGGCGGAGGGCCACCTTCTCAACCTCAGATCCTTCGATTGGCCGCCCGTGTCTGCATATTGAAAATTCTAGCCTTTCCCTTCTTAGACTCAGACCGACATAGAATGTAACACTATAATAAAACCACCGGCGGAGTTTCGTTCCAACCTGTTAGCAAAGGATAAATTGATCTGTCTCGGCTCCATTGCGTGTTATATATAGATAGTGTATAGCGCGAGTAGCCGCGAAAGCGAGATCCCGACTATTACAGGACCAGAATGACAAACGGCTAATTAGGCTTGCAGTCCTTTTCGGCGATTCCCGAGCAATCATAGACCTGTTGTGACATTACGCTTCAGCCAGAATATAATTGATTCTATTGTTCGGCGGCCCGGCCGTCGTACAGTATGCTGTACATGTAGCACATGCACTAATTATTACCGTGGTTGGTGTCGGAAAAGATATTTCCAGGAAATTACTGGGTGCCACCATGAAGGCTCGGGTCAATGCAAGTGGCCAGTAAATAATACAAACAGAGGCTGAAATGTTCCTTCTTCTCTATCAGATGGACCTGTGGGAGGCCTGTCTCTATAGATAATTTATAGAGATGAGGCTGGGGCACTGGTTCTAGGTTTGCGCGACGACCTACATTGTCCGAAGGGAGTGGTCAACCAAGGCAGGTTGTCTTAGGCACCAGACCGGAATCATGTCATTGCTGGCCAGAGTTCCTATGAATCAGGGACACAAGCCAGTCGAGCATCACCGCTGGCGCGAGACAGGCCTGATATGTCGTAGGTCGGGGAAATGGCGGTGCCATGAACCGTCGGATGAAGCAGGGGACGAACCAATGGAGAGGGAACCCTGGAAGGCGAATGTGAGAAGATCTGGGCGTTGATGGATTTTGTCAACGCGACGGGACAACTACAGGCAACGTGAAGGACGATGAATTGCTCTGGTATTGGCTTTGAGCTCACTTATTTGCTGTGTACCGTTCGAAAACTAGTAACGCTTAGCGAGCGTCCTTGCAGTCCTGATGAGTACTTGAACACAGAAGCAAGACTTTTACTACATTAGAGGAATCGTCTGGAACTAACAGCCATTCACAGCGCTGTTACCTGTGCCGAAAGACGGCGGCATCGGGGATTTGGATAGCCTGTCAAATCACCATGCATAGCCGGCAGAAAGCGTCTCCATGTCACGACCATTCCATTCCCCATCGTCACTTGGCGCATCATCCAGAAAATCATCCTCGTGGAACTGATCCTGAGAAGGCCTTTGATCCGATATCACCAGATTCACGATCTCACATCGGGGTTGGACCATCTTTGGCGTCGTGGTGTCACTTTCGTCAGGGTGCACTCTGATACTGAACTTCCTCAGGTGGCTGTTCGCTATGCGACTGCTTTGACGTTGGGATATCAACTGCGATGTCTTGGACGACTTCTTGGTGACATTGGAAGGTTCTGCACTGCTGAGAAAGGTGTTTTCGAGTTTCGGCAACCACGTCTTCCTCAAATTGGCACGATCTCTCCAGCTCGCGCCCTTCAAAATTGCTTTGATGTTGAGTTTCCTCAGATAAGGGAGATGTTCGGAAGAGTCGACAAGCGAGGCAAAGAACTCTTCAGCGTCTGTGGCCGACAGTTGCCGTAAATTTTCAACAGAGATGGTGACGAGATCAGTTGGCCAAGTCGGAGGACCATTAGGCAACAACTCATCATAGAGAGGATCTCGATCACGGTACGATGTTGGGTCGACGTAGAGCATATCAACTTCGAGAACTCGCAGACGAGGACACAGTACTCGAAGGCTAGCCATGAAGCCCAAGGACATGGACTGATTCCCAAAGAGCTTGAGTGTTCTCAACGAGCTGCCTCCTGAGTGCAAGTACTGTTCAAGGGTCTCAGAAGTCAAACAGGGGCAATGTGAGAACTCCAAATCCTGCAGACCAATAGGGAGCATCGTGGCCGCGTCCTCATCGAGTAGGGTGCAGTTTCGGAATGTTAGGCTTTTGAGATCTGGCAGATGTTTGAGTGCGCCAGTAAGAAGACTGTACGCTGTGTCAATGTCGACATCACTGGCCTTTTCCGGGAGCGTTAGGTTTAGAAAGGTAAGATGGCGTAGGCGAGAGAATGAGGCACCTGAATGGACGCGCATGGCAGTTTCAAGAGCCTCCAGAGCGCTGGGAAATCGACCATTCCATTCAAAGCTCCTCATTATCATGTTACTCTTGTTGAGGTGGTCGAACAATTCCGCAGGATATGACCAATTCAATCTCTGGGCTGTTGGCTGCGCCCAAATAAGGGTATTGAAGTCATCATGATTTGAATATAGGCGTATGCCCTGTAGAAGAGGGGTATGGGATAAAAGCTCATCGATGGCAATGCCGCTCTTTTTGAAAAGAAGATGTTTGACTTCGATGTCGAGATAGTTAATACAATTTTTGTATTCTGTGGCCGATGTACTAGGACTTTCCCGAAGCAATCGCATGAGGCCGTGAGCTCGCCACGCAGGATAGAGTGGAGGACTGTAAAGCAATGCAGCCATGCAAGCCTCGTGAAATGATCGACATAGAAGAGAAGTAGAGCAAAGCCAGTTGATGGAAGGGTTGCTGCGGGACGCTTGTCCATACAGCGGGTAGGCAGCATACTTCATGATGCTTACAATGATGTGATACGGGAGTTGTTGCCAAGGGGGAATGTGTTGATTTGAAGCGAGTAGTAAGGGCGGGATCCCTCGTGAATACGCAGGTGGTTTGGAGCGAATGTCCGAGGACCGAATTTTCCGACGTTTATATGAAGTGAATGGGTTTGCAGCCCGAGTTTCTGCTGTAGTTGGAGCCCTTCGCTTGCGCAGTATAGAAGGGACAGGCTCTTCTTGTCTTGTGGGACGTGTTCTTGTACCTCTTGACAGAAAGACCTCTTCAGACGAGGCATCAGATTCGCCAGAGGATGAATGTTCGGACCTCTCGTCACTTGACTCTCGATATGTCTGTACCCGTCGGACAGCGCGCGAAGGCCGAGATGGGACATTGAACTGGGTTGAGGCATCCGAGTCGCTGTCTTCGTTTTCATAGCGGATTAGAGGCCCCCGACGAGGCAGGCGTCTAGGTCGATTCGAGAGTGCCATTTAGGTGAAACATGCGGAGGGCGGCGGCAAAGACGATAAGGTGCGCGAGGCTATCGATGGTAAAAACAACAGCTCAGCGTCAGCGTCGGTGTCGGTTTCTCAACTCAAGGAAAAGAGCGACTGGAAGTGCTGGTCTTCTGTCTGCGATATGATTTCGCGCAGACGTCCGTAGAGTGGTGCCGATCATGGATACTCCGTAGGTACTCCGTACTTTGCATGAAGCGCGCACCGACTGCACTAGGTGGCGGGGAGGCAGTGGTAGACCTGGACGCAGAGTTGAACATGGTAGGTTTGCCGATGTGTGCAAACTGCGCAATGCATTATTATTGCTGACACCCAGCCACCCTACCTCTTCAACATGCCACACTTATTAGGTAGGTATCCGTACAGATACTCCGTACCTATTAGATATCTGTAGGTAGGTACTGATGAAAAATAGTTCACACCAACTACCATACGGAAGCAAAGTGCAGTAGGCCGTCCAGCTGCGAGTGAGACACAGTGCTCTCTGGTAGTAGTCCTTCTCACCTCTATGCGGGATCAGTGGACAGACTGGCCATCCGGGTATATTGGAAAATTCCTAGGTAAAGGATGCACCTTTTGCAGTACTCCGGACTGAACTGCTTGCTATTACTGCGAGGGCTAGTTGCTATTATGAGAAATATGAAAGACAGAAAGCTCGGGCCAAGACTGATTTGGCGTTGGCAACATTAGTTGATGCTGTGAGTGGGCGACGGATATTCTGTTACCTAGGCAAGGTAACCTTTAGGTACGTACCTATATGCACCTAAGGTTTAGGACCCTAAGTATCCGTACTCCGTACCCATACTCCGTATTTATTTAGGGTATGGGAATTAGGCTTGGGAAATGGATTCTGCACCGCCACCGAGAATCGTCGAATGAGAGAAGAGGACCCCATCCTCCAGTCCTCAATCTCCGGTGCTACTCTACACATGTATGGACATAACTAACCAGGTAGGAGTAAATGTTGGTAGTAGTGCAGCACGTAGCACGTTACGAAACAGTCTGCAATCTCATGGGTTCTGAATCTCATCTTTCTATACTATCTTCTGCTGCATCGCGTCGTCGCTGGACAAATTTGGGCACGGCACACTTGAAGGACTTGATCGTGATCTGCACCTGCCGCAAGCTTCTTTCCTGCCACCTTGTGCGCCGCAATCTGATTTGTCGGCCCTTGACGACCAGTCTGCCCTGCCAACTTTTGCTTGCAGTTCGCCAATCCCGCTGCTACCCCCTGCCACTCGTTCAAGAGGCATTCCCAGAACGTCACATCTCTCTTGCACCATCCAACAAACATCCTCTCGATCATCTTGCTCTGAGAAACCTTTCAGTTCTGATACGCGCAAACGAACAATTGTACAACACAGACTCAACGCGTCGACCGTGCATGGTGTCTCGAAAGGCCTGGGTACGCTGTTCTTGTAGGGGCAGCTCCTAATTCGATCCCGGTCGAGCACAACGCTCCTTGAAGAGTTCAACAAATGGGGTCTACACAATTTGGAAAATTCCAGGTGCGGGATGCGAACATTCTTCGTTCCACCAGGTCACTGACACCTTGTTTGCAGGACTTCTGTCGCGACTCGACACTTCCCATATGCAATGTACCTCTCCCCGAGACACCTGAACCTTACTTTCAGCCCTCCTCCCTAACTGCTGCTAGATCCTCACAAATAACAATCAACCTCCGGGAAAAAACTATGGCGGCTGCATCCTTCGCGGCATCACGCTGAGTAACAACAGAAATCTCGCCAACCTCGGTTCCATACTATTCTGCGGTATCGCAATCCTGGTAACGGCATTCCTGCTATGGCGAACAGAGCGGAAAGCGGCGGCAGTCGGTCGCCGAGAAATGCAGTTGTTTCTGCTTGGATTTTTTGTCATCGAGATATGCGAGATCTTCACCGTGGGCGGCTTTCCACTGGACAACGATGTGCGCAAGGGCTTCACAGCTGTTCACCTGGCAGCCATTACTGCGACGACCTGGTTATTGCTAATGAACGCTGTGGTTGGGTACCAGTTGCTTGACGATGGCACGCCATTGTCGCTAGGTCTGATCGGAGGAAGTGCCCTGGCCCTCTTTATTGGAACAGGATATATCGCGCTCGACACGGCATTCTCTTGGACTGGATACTGGGATTCGTCGCTTCACCCGCCCCACCGCAACATTGCGCTCTATGTGCTTTACCAGCTGGCGCCTTTGGTCTTCATGTTCTTCTTCTTCGTTTTCGAATCAATACTCGTGCTAAGGGTCCTCGGGGAGACAAAACCAATGGTTTATCTGGTTGCGGCTGCGCTACTCTTCGCCATAGGGCAGATTTTCGAATATGTGATATCGGTCCACATCTGCAACCCCACTCACGGAAAGATCAACGGCGCCCTCTTCGAAACTCTGTTTACATTGCTGAGTGTTGTTGCAGTGTTCGTGTTCTGGTCCTCTATCACCGAAGACGACTGGCCTATACAGTAACGCTTCGAAAGGACGGCTGATTGATCAATACTAAGACCTGCTCCGCAACGAGTTGAAATCGATGTGGAGGGAATGTGCTCGGCGCGGTCATTTTTCGAACTTGGCAGGGGGATGCGTTTATTGCCACATTAGCTGATAGCTTTCGAAAAGGCTTTGGCTGCAAGAGCTTGACGACTATGACGCAGCAATTGGCGTTTTGAAATGTGGGCCGAAGGCATTTTCTGTTGAAGTTCACGTCATATTGGTCGATTTCGGCATGAAACGTGGGACGAACAAGTTTTTTGTTGCCTGCGGTTGAGCTGTAATCTACTATCACAGCGGACTATCTGACCTAGACTAGAATAGATAGTAAGCTATTGAGCTTCCTTGACAGACGTGCGCGCAGGGACCTGTGTACCGCACCTGCGTCTAGCTGGATCTCTCGATGCAGAGGGAGCGAACTAACGCGTGGAAGTGTGGAATGCTAAATCGCTCACCCAAAGCTCATTGAACCGGCATGTTGCCTTCGACTTCAGTTTCATAGCACCACCTTGACTCCGACGCAGGGCAATGTCCATTCCGTCCGACCAAGCAAATACCGAAGCCAGTGAGCCCCAATGCCGGCCTCGCCGCCAGGGGAAGGCGGCAAAGCAGAGGTAGGTGGCACGCTCTGACGCGCATTATTAATCAGACTAGTTGTTGAGTCCTTCAGAGCATGGGCGATGCCATATACTGTGCTGCGTGTCACGTCCACCAGAAAATCGGCCACTTCGGATGTACCGTTTGCCTGGCGTTCTATGCCGATATTGTCACTGGCAGTGTACAGCCTGGGAATAAACCATGAGGCGATCGAGGTTGTCTCTTCTCCGTGCTGGCTCAGGTCGACGAAACAGCGATTGGACCAGTGACAGGAACTCGCAAAGAGGATGATGAGTAGGAACGAGCAATAGATACAGGGTCGGTTGAGGACGTAGGTCAAAACTAGTAAAAGGATGAGATGAACGGGCGAAAGTGATAGCGGTAGCGGCAGGAGAAGCAGAGGTAGGTAACTGTGTTCGAGGGTCAGCACTTCCACGAGAAGAGGAAATCAATGCTCTCACCTTCGCAAACAATACATTGTAACGATCCTAGAACACAGATAGTCAGGTCAAAGCCTTTGCGTTTATACCGGAGGGTCGAGAATGTTTGCGCGGCGAGAAGGGTCGCAGACTAATTACTAGTAATAGTACGGATAATAGAGATGGAGTGATTATGGCAGGAGGAGTGCCTTTGAGCTGGTGGCCAATCAATGGACCATCAGCGTGATTTGGTAATACTGTGATAATGTCGATCCGGCGAAACTTTTTGGACGGCACCTAGGTGGCCGGGATATTAGTCTAGCAGTCATAAGTTGCCTCCGCAGCTTCATTTACTTCACCCGCAGTTTGATGATATATCAACACAATTACAGTGCTAGTTCAGCTGCGGGTTAGTATTGCACATTGGGGCCGCCATTCATTACTCCTTTACTGTTTCCAGGTGTGACATCCTGGACGGGGAGAAAACCCTGCCTCTCAACTTCGTCTCAGAGTCTTTCCTCGACTTCGATTTCAGTGGCCTCATCAGCTTGTCGTCTTGGACTGTCTGAAAATGTCAACCAACGACCTGCAAGCTCTTTTTGCCAACCTCAAGCCGAAGTCTCGAGACCCCTCCTCCCTGCCTCAAACCCCCAATAATGCCAATCTCTCGAGCACCAACGGCCATCGACCTCAGCCTGCTGCAATTCTACCAGCGCCTGCCAGCCAGCCTCCACCCATTTCCACAGTGGCTAACGAGTATCACCACAGCCAGGTGGCTAATCGTAGTGGATCTGGCTCCGCTGTCACAGCTCAGTCTCTCTTGAATCTTCTCAATTTCGGTCCTTCGCCCTCGTCTACTTCCAGCGCCAACACGAAAGCCACTGTCTCTACAAAACCTTCAGAGCGCAAGCCAGAAGCTGAAGGAACATCCGCGAGCGGTCCTGCAGACCAAGGAACATCTGTGTCAGCCTCAGATCTGTTTGCAAAATTCACGAGTCCTTCACCATCCCCAGCGGGGGCGAAGTCAAAATCTCCATTAAAAGTTGATGATCACGGAGGAGGTGGCGATCAGCATTCTTCAGGCAGTGTCCGAGATGCGTCGCAAGACGTTCTTCTCAAACTACTTAGTCGGTCGCATTTGACCAATACATCAACCGGACGACCAGTATCAGTTGAAAGAACAGAACGCCAAACCTCAGTCACAATTCCCAATCCGAAATCAGCAAAGCTCGGGACAGCATCCCCTATTCATGTTTTTGGCTCTAATCCTGGTGCTAAAGCGACCACATTTGAAACACCCAGATCGGAAGATAACCCTCCCACCCAGACCCAACCCATCTTCACCTACACCAATCCCTTCGAAGCCTTGCACGCATCCCGATCACAAACTCCAAAAGTGGGGACACCCGTACCGGCGAACAGTGCCGATCTTGCTCGGCCAAGTGTAGAGACTGGGGACGACCAGCCCTCCGATGCAGGATCCACGCTCGCTACGCCTGAACACGTTGCTCGAAGAAAGATCCTGACACCCAGACTGCCGTCCACAACCAAGGCAAATACAATTTCACGAGAGGTCTCCCTCTCTGCATCAGATAAAGAGAAGAAGTCTGGTGAAGGAGCTGAGTTCCGGGATACATTGGCCCCCAATATGGCCCAGCCCGGTCCGAGAGACCCAAGACAGACCTCGAAGAGTGAAGTGACCAAGCAGGCTCGCGTCGAAGAGCAGGCTCAGGGGAATATTGCTGCTGAAAAGCTTCCTGATAACCAAGCTGAGGGTGTGGACGAGTGGGAAGACACAGAAGAATCTCCGAACAAGGAATTTGCGGCAAGAGTTGTCCCGGTGTACAACTTTCCAATCAAACCCTTCGTCTCGATTACCTTGCAACTTACCGCCGGTCCCGACATCGACATTAGAGATGATGGAGTCATGGAAATATCAAGACTAAAAAAGGATTTCGACCAGCTGGATCGTTCGCTTGCAGCCGCGACCTCAAAGTACATTACCTACGCACTGGTGAAAAATGGCGGTCTGCGGATCATCAGACAAGACGACGGTAGCGATCGCCAAGTGTTTAAGAACTCTCATGATCGCATTTTCAACGTTGCCTTATGTACAACTTCCGCCGCTGGCGCTCCCTCAGACGATCAAGCTGTGCTCGGAACTGGTGTCAGTGGTGCAGTATATTATGCAACCATTTCGAAAAGTGGAAATGATCTGTTTGAAAAAAACGAACTTGAATCCGAGAGTCTCATTTTCCCTCCATATCCACCATCCGATGAGAATGCGGCGGGTGGTGTGTTGAAAACCCGGGCCAAGAGGAGCTCCCGCCATCCTGAGTTCTTTGCTATCGGCCGAGGTAAATCAATTCACCTCATTTGGCCCGCAACTGCAATGTCCTCTAGATATGGTGTCACTGATTCCAATCGCCACGTCGACGTTGAAAAGTTCTTCCAAGAACGAGAACTTCAGATATCCACTGGAAAGGCAGGCAAAGATTTCACTTTTAGTGAGGATGACAGCTTGATCGTGTCTCTGGACAAGACAGGCAGACTACGATTCTGGGATATCCGTAAACTGACGGACGAGTCCAATGCAACGGCAGCACGTGTTGCAGGGATGGTAGTTGACGTACCTTTACTGTCGCTTTCTACAGCATCGCCGGCCGAGAAGTCTTGGCCTACATCTGTTTTGTTCGTTGACAAGGCGCGCCCATATATCAAAGGAGGGCCATTGCGGTATGTCCTTGTTGGGTTGAGGCAGAACCACACGCTTCAGCTTTGGGACATTGCTCTCGGGAAAGCTGTTCAGGAGTTGAACTTCCCGCATGAGAATGAGACGGATGCTATCTGCAGCGTCAATTACCATGCTAGCAGTGGCATCATCGTGGTCGGCCATCCAACTCGAAACTCGCTGTTCTTTATTCATCTTTCTGCACCACGTTATTCTCTGAGCTCGTCATTGTCCCAGGCGGCCTATGTCCAGCAAATTGCCACCAAGGACCCCGAAATTGCGAAACCGGACTCGACCGCCTGTATGAGTGGGTTTCGTGAGATCTCCTTTGCAGGGAAAGGAGAGTTGAGGAGTGTGGAACTCTTGCCCGTTCATAGGACAACGGAGGCACAGAAGACCATTGATGTAACAACACCTTTATTCGAGCTTTATGTCGTCCATTCGAAGGGTGTCACTTGCCTCAACATAGCCAAAGAAGATCTCGGCTGGAGTTCAGAAAGCAAGGTCATTCACCCCGTCGATGCGGCCAAAGAAGGACTGGTGAGCTTAAAAGAGCTAAGGCTTGGCAGCGTGATCGAGGAAGGCAGTCGGAGCAGGAGCCCTATTGAGGAGGTGCAGCAGCCAAACAAGTCGACAAAAAAGAAGTCGGGGAAGAAAGGCACTTCTGCCGGGGATCGTGCAGACACTGAGCAGCCCGAGAAACCCGATGTCCTCAAATTCACATCTTCACAGCTCCCCAGCAACGGTACCGAAGCTCTTACCGATATCGCAAATGGCGAGACTCCAACGGTAAAGGAGAGTAAGAAGAGCAAGAAGAAATCTGTACAACACACAGAAACTGCCGCGCCTGGTAAAGCAACCCAACGCACAACGTCACCTTTGAAAAAGGTATCACAGCCGACCGATCTTCCTGTTGATACTAGCGTTTCCGCTCCTGTCGAACATGTGGCGACCCCAGCACTCGCTACCGAGGGGGCTCCTGCTACGGAGGCAGCCGACAAGTCGGACGCAGTTACAGTCGGAATTTCGGGTGACTGGTTGAACAAGGAGCTGAAGAAGGTCGAACGCGTCGTGTCAACAGAATTCCGCAAGGAGTTCAATGTTCTATATCAGAACATTCAAAACGATCGCATGGTACAGGATTCGTCCTCTGTGGCACGCCAGGAAGCTCTGCTTCGGCTGGTCTCCACCACTTTGACTAACAACGTGGAGACGGCTTTATCTCGCATACTCGCCGCTCAGATGCAGCAATCAATGGTCCCCGCACTGACCAGTGCTACAGTTCAGGCCGTAAGTACTCAGGTCGGCGATGCAGTGGCGAAGTCTCTTCACTCTCTGGTGCCACGCGAATTAGGTGTGCAGTTGCCTTTGGCCATCAATTCCGCACTGCAAACTCCCCAAATCAGTCGAACTATCGCAGAGACAATATCTCAAAAGATTTCCAAGCAGACCGAAACGCAGCTTGCGGATATCTTACAAAAGCAAGTGGTGCCCGCTTTCAAGACCCTCGCGATATCGACTGCTGAGAAGGCAGCGTCTGAGGTTGAAGCTCGACTCAGGAATGAGATCCGCCAGTTGGAGACCGACAGACGACACGATATGACTAGACTGGAGAAACTCGGCCAAGTCCTTCAGGCGACAGCAGAGACTTTGCAGCAAATGTCTGATACTCAAGTCGCTTTCCAAGGGCAGATTCTCAAGGATCGTCGACAACTGGCTCTCCTTGGTGAGGGCGGCACACCAGCAACATCCCGACAAGTATCGACCGCACGCACGACACCCTCTCCGCAGACCATCGCCCGACCAACGCTTCAGCGACCGAAGACGAAGGAGGAACTGGAGCTGGAAGAGATCACTCAGTTGATGAACGAAGGCCGTTATGAGGAGGGTTCAATTAAATGGCTGCAATCATCCCAACCGGTGGAGTTGTTCGACAAGCTCTTCATTCATTTCACTCCCGAATACCTGGCTACCGACGTGTCTCCTCTGATTGCCTTTTCGATTGCCGTGACGGTCGGTAATTCTCTCGCAACTAATACTGCTCGACGGCTTGAATGGATCTCTGCTGCTTTCGATGCGGTCGACCTCTCTGTAAGTGAACTACTCTAGAAGACGCTTCCCTGCTAATCAGTAACCTTTAGGATCCGGAAATCGCGGATCTCGCACAACATGCACCGGCTTTATTGAGCTCGCTAATCCAGAAGCTCGAGAGCTTATACATGGCAATTGCAGAGCATGATCCGAGCGACCCAGCCCTGCAGATTATGCCAATCGTTTCTAAGAAGGCAAAGGATATGAGGGCGGCATTGTTGGGCTCCGCGGGACGAGTCACTTTCTGAATTGTGTCTTTGGCAGGAATATGGTGGCTCGAGGCGGAAGGACTTCGAATTTGGCATGGCAGGGCAAACGATCCCAGTTGCGTGGCTTAGTTCCCCCATTCAATAGTTGTACCCTCTAGCATTGGTGTGTGTGAGTATGAGACAGCTGAGTTTGCCGTTTGCAGGGTCGATTCGCCCGTATTGTCTCGATCAAGCAAGCTATCGATGGACGGCCTAGCTGGCTACCCGCGAGATATCCTTCTTCACGAGTCACCGCGGTACCTGAAGTGAGGCTTGTAGGGTGGACTGGCTAGAACGGCTGAAGTCCAAATGCGACTGAAAATGCCTACGACGCGAAATTGCGCTGTGTTCCTCCCACGATCCTTGTACTACCATTGTCTCAGTTACTATCCCTGCGCGTGCTAATTGATTGGCCTCCTTAGCCTGTATCACCAAGCTGACCATCACCTCCCAGGTACTCAGAGATTACCCGTGAAGTTTCCAAATTTCGCTTCCCCTACTTCGCACTCCGTCCTGCGCTCCCTGATCTAGATGTGATCCTCATTACTCGGAAGTCCGTTTTTGCTGCAAGAAGCAAGATAAGAGCGCAGCAGGTCAAGCAGTCAGAAGCATCATCGCACACAGAGGCAGTTGTGAAATCTACCTCACTTCGCACACCTCTTCCCTTGGACTGGTAGCCGGCAGTTAGCATCTTCTCTCTCCATCCTATCTTGACCGACCGATTCTACTCACCATTTCCCCATCAGCCGTTCAGAATGGAGCGGGATACTAGACACAGCATTGTTTGCGACCAATCTCCTTTGTTGCAGCTCCTTCAAGAAACCCTAGCAAAGGATGTCGACTTCGAAGCCCTGGAGGCTATCCTTATGAGCCGACTGATGCGAGAATCGAATTTCCGCCACACGTAGGTCGGGTTTGAGATAGGTGTTCGGCAAACTTATAGTCGCCTTTGGTTTGGTTGTGCACCGGTTCGCGATTTGCAACGTCTCTTTTTCCCTAAAAGGTTTAAAAGCAAGAAAGCTGGCTTCACCAAGAACGGACGATCTATTAAGCAACTCGCGTATCCCTGGTGGGTGGCACAGTGTATTCATTACGGACTTCGCTTTCCGTGGACAAAGGAAGATGCTATAGCAAGCATTCGAGCACGCCTATCAACGAAAGTCTTGAGCAGGCCGGCCGAAATGAAGGCTTTGGGAAAGAGGCTAAAGATCGCACAGCGACGTCGTGCGCGGGCACAAGAGCAAACCGTTTCGGGCAATACTGGGTCCGATGTCGAAACACAGAAGGAAAAAGACAAGAAATAGTCTGAACCAGTTGACTCTCCCGTCATAACCGTCGCATCCCGCAAATTGTCCATGCAAGACAGCACGATAGGATGGCCAAAAGCTCAGGAAGACCAGGATGCCGGCACTTCAAGAATCACTGAGAACCGGGATGCAGCTGCGCAGGCGCCGCAGTCCTCATCTAATGTATCGTCTACGAAGAGAACACGCACTGGGGCCTCAACTGCATCCTCTAAAGAGACAAAGAGGGATCCTGATTCCAGCAACACTGATTCCAGCGACACTGATTCCAGCAACACTGATTCCAGCAACACAGACACGGTGGGGAGTCATGTTCCGCAACAGAAGATCGGGATGAAGAAAACAACTCGCAAGGATCACACGGGCAAGTCAGCAGGGCGACACGCTGAAGATAACTCTCCCATGGGTAACGACCAGGCTACCAGTCCTGCCGATGCACAACCTGGAGTTGAAGTTGCCAGGAATGAAGGCCCAACCCACCAATGTGAGAAGAAGCATCAAAAGAAGGCCACTCAACAGAAGCAATCTTCTTCTGTAACCGCATCAGGCCGCTCCGGGCTCGACAGTATCCGCGACAAATCACCAGCAGTACAGACAGAGCCAAGGTTAGCACGTTCAAATCATGAGACTCGTGGCACGGCAATAGACACCCCAAAGGGACCAACTCAACAATGCGCCAGTGGTTCCAAGGCCCGGAGGCTCCAGCTGGGTTCGGACAGCGCTACAGATGAGAGGAGCAAGAAACGCTCACATGCTACAGTGTTTGGGGACAACGAGATCGCAACGACACAAGCTTGTAGTGCATCAACCAACAAGCGCCAGCAGGGTACTCATGCCAGCACAAATGAGACACGAAGTCAACTTAGCATACCTCAAGACCGGGAGGGTGCCACCTATATACGGAGTCCTTGGGAGAACAACCTGCCGCACTACCCCAGGTTTGAGTGGGTGATGAACCCCGATGGGAGTGAGAAGAGACCGCATTTCACTGCTCCGAGATCCACCTCGCGTTACGCGACATTGAGAAACCAGATTGAAGACCCCCTTTCGTTGCAATCAAAAGGAGCCAGACCAGAAGGTGGTCTCCAGCGGCCGAATAAGACAAGTATCGACCAAAAGTTTAACAGGCACAATCTCGGCGGGAAAAAGGTAAACGCCAGTGACAAGTGAGCCATTGCACTGGACCTGATGGTCAGCGATGGCGCGTCGAAATTGGTCCAGGAAATTCCTTGAGATTGCCCTCACGGAAACTTTATCGTGGTGATGGTTCAAATCTCAGGTCTCTCGGAGTAGCAAGAGGAAGGAGGTGATAGATTTGTCCATGTTAGAACATTTCGGTAGCTTGGGCGCAAACGGCTAGTAGGATTGAAACCTGAGATATGAAAGGAGCATAGGGACTAGAGGTGGAAGTGCGAGTAATCCAGCCATAAAGACGAACTACCATAGTGTCTGAGGCCGAGATTTGGACTCTTCAACATCCAACAGGTCCAATGTGTGACGTCCTGAGACGGCCGGGGCTGCGGATTACCGAGATAACTGAACAGAGTAAATTGTGTGTAACATCGAATACTATCTCACAGGAGTTTACTGCTGATGAGGCCGTGGCAGACCATCTCATGTCGGCGTGCTGTCATGAATGTGTCGCATACTACTCGTAGACGGTAAGTGAGTTATGAGGAAGCCTTACGAGGCTGGTGGTCTTTTCCAGCCTCGTCTCTCGTTGTATAGGGTACCCCACACAGTTCATGGGGATTCTCTCCTTTGCTTATTAGTGACTCAATACCTTCCATTTAATTAGGATAAATTGGGCGGAGGCGAACAGCATATGGATTATCTAGGGCTGTCCAGTACTAACATTGTAAGGATGAGGTCGAAATTGCAACGGGAAATTACCATAATGGACGCAAGCCTCTGAGGCTAGTAAACGACGGTGCGGTTTGCGCATATAATATGGTACCATGCTCTTTTTTTGATTCCCACATCCATCCGACCACCAAACTACCAACCACCAACCACCACAGGCAAAAACTCCGTTATCGTACATTGAATATTGCAGGAAGATGCGCTCATTCTACCCAGCAGTCAACCCTGGGGGTTTGGGACTGTTCGGCGGTCGGCTGGCCTGGCGAGAATCATGCTGCTCAACCTTCCTTCCCGCTGTGGGACATTGGCTATCAGGCCATGATTCGTCGGAGCACTTCAATTTGATGGCGGGGGCAATTGTTGATCGCCAAATCCATCGAATCCTACGAGTATGACGCATCTTCCGTGACCAGAGCAACCTGATCGACCCCCTCTGCAAGACCGAGTGACATCAAAGATACCTGACGTTACGTTGCATCTTTCAAGCTGTGTCCATCGCATCGGCGCCACTGCCGTTGGTACCATTCAGCACAAAACTGACCTCCCCATCTTCACTGATAAATTGTTTCTCGAAATCGTTCACCAGTTTGGTCGATCTTGTAGGATCATAGAAGAGCTTGTAGCTCCGCTGAACGTCCTCGATGCCGACCTCCTTTCCTCGCCGTTTCTGGCTCAGCAAGCTGGAAGTCGTGATGATGTTGCTCGCATACCGAAGACCTGATTCCTGACCAATCTTTGTGAGTAAGGTAAGGGCGTCGGCTGATAGATCAACTTCTTCCTCTTGGGCTCGGATGGCAAGTATCTGAGAGATCTCTTCTTGTGAATAAGGCTGAGTGCTGATGATGACAACGCGATCGAGGAAGTCCAAGGGCAGGCCATGCGGCGAGCTGTACGTTGTTCCACGTATGCGGGCATGGCCTCTGTTGCTTGCCATGATGACGATTGGCGCGAGGTCCGCCTCCAATGCCCGGTTGATGTAGGAATAACATTCAATGTCCAACATGTGTACCTCATCGATGAATAGGACACCGGGAATGATCTCTGCCTTTCCTTCTTCCTTCCATTCGGCAACTTTGGTATTGATCTGATCGCGCACTTCGCTTCGAATCTCACCCGTGTCGCCCGAAAATAATGCAAGAAACCCCTGCGTTCTGGAGTTGATGACATCAATCTCGTGGAGAGAAACTGTGTGGACCACCTCCTTTCGGACTTGAAGTTCACCCTCCGGACACTGGACGAATTTGGTATCTGCACCCATAGCGTCGTAATCTCTTGATCTTGTGTATGATCTGCCCAGCTTGGTTATCTTGCCTGATGCTTTGTCGATTGATATCACGTCTCCGGCCATGACCCTCTCTTTGGTCATGGAATCAATCATTTTGGTTCCCATGTCGTAGACGGTCTCCATATCCGTAGTTTTGATCGTAAGCTTGCCTTGTTTGTTACCCTGATGTTCCAGTCAGTTGTGGCGAACCTAAACCCCGGGCTGGCCATTCTTACCCCGGACACACTTCTGTCAATTTGGATCTCGACAACTTCACCTTCGATGATCTCACTCTCTTCCTTGATTCTAACTCCGATAGATTTGCGAAAGGCCTGGGTCAGGGCCTCGGTCTTGGACATCTCAAGCGAAAAGATTTCGGAGGAGGCGAGCATCGTGAAGGGAACATCCGGACCGAGGGACTGGGCCATGCCCATGGCTAAGGCAGTCTTGCCAGTGCTCGGTGGCCCAACGATCAACACCGCCCTTCCTGCAATCTTTGCATCTTTGACCATCTGTAGAATAACCGCCGCTGCTTTTCGCGCTTTCTCTTGCCCGATCAGACCCTGCGAAGATGCCCGCGGTTCCAATGTTGCCAAGTCGACGCCCAATCCACGAATATGGGAGTGCGCGGCAATGAGGTTGAGTCCGCGGACCTCACGGCTCTCCGACACGGTTGTTATGGCCTGCGACGAATTAGTCCTTGATTGTCAACTATGCGAGATCGTTGACACTTACTGCCGCCATACTGGAAGAACGGTCACGTAACGAAAAGACTTCTCAAGGGGGTATGGGGTACAGCCCAAAATCACAGGCTCAAGAACATCCGGGGGGAATGAATTAGAGAAGACTCCTCTCGAAAAACCTCAACCTTGCCTGCACGCCGACTTCGCGACGACGACAACCTCCAACTCACGCGCAAGGAATTATTGTACCCGCGTAACCTTCCGCAATCAGAAGGAGGAGCATCCGGGCACTGCGACTCAAGCGCCCCTCCGCAACTGCGCAACCGCCTGCGCGAAAGTACCTTAGCGATGCGGTGCATACCGCTTCACACACACCTTGATAGATCGACTTGCCTGAGTTCCTCGCTACGGCACACGACAAGCCTACGAGTTTTATGGTGCTCTCAGCATACAAGAGGCGCCTCGGCGGAAGCTGCGATCTGTCGTTCTATTGAATATCTCTCCAGCGACTCCTCGACTCCTCGACGCATGACACCGAAACAGTCGGTGTGCCCGCCGCGCCGAATACCCTGGCACTGTCTCCTATCTTACAGGCCAGGTGATTCTTGCCTGCCTCGCAATCGCGTACTGTCTTCCAGCCTCACCAGTGCTTGACAGGCATGTCGTGGCTGTCGATATGCAAAAAGCCGTCTCAGAGTTACGGTCTATCTCCGATGATACACCCACTATGTCACGCGATCCTCGCATAAGAGCTAGAACAGCCTCTCACAACGTTTCTGACCCCTCTCCCGCGCCCAGTCATGGCGAGCAAGAGAGAAGAGATTATTTCACAAAGAGAGACTGCTCAGCTTCCGAGGTGAACACGCCGCAAAGCCCTCGTTCCAATGGTCAGAATCCTAGGTTGGCCCGAAGTGAGGCGAGTGAACTCCAGAAAGCCCTTCTTGCGTTTGTATCGAACGCCGTGGACAGTAGCCTCGCAAGGCGCAAACGAGACTTCATGCAAGCAAAAGCCCAATCTGCGCGAACCAAGTATGAACGCTACCAACGGTGCTTCGCTCAATTTCCAGTGGTCGTGGAACAAGCTTTGGAAGAGCAGAAAGAAATTGATTCGGACTTTGAATATACCCAGCACGAGATGCGGAGATGCAGTGAAGCCGAAAATGGAGCTACGTCCGACCTTGCACGCCGCTTGTTCGATATTGTCGCCAAAGACAATCAGGAGTCGAGATCCCACGCCGCGCAACTGCACGACCTCCGCCGGGATATGGAAGAACTTCGTTCTCAAGCTACCACAAATAAAGAGGCGCAGGAAGCAGCCGCCAAACTGGTAGACTTGGCCGCCGAAAACGAGGCACTGTGGAAGCGTGTTAATAGCTTGCAGGACAGGTTGCCGGCCATAAGACAAGAAAATGAGGCAGTGCAAAAGAGTGTCTATAGCTTACAAGATCGCGTGAAGACAATGGAGCAAGATCTACGAGATTCTCGACAGCGGGAATCGGAGTATTCGGCGAAGATGGACGTTAGTCTTCGTAAGGAGATAGTCGAAGTCAGAGAACAGACACAGAAATTGTCAGCAGACGTGAAATTACTCGAAGAGGGTTCCAATGGTCTTGAAAGCATGAAGAAGAGCACCAATCTGGAATTGACTCAGATCCAAACTCGACTGGGAGACGCCGAAGACAAAATGGGGTTGCTGCAAAAAGATGTTGCTGGTGACATGCGTGAGACAGAAACCCTATATTCTCAGCTTGCCGACATTAAAGGCAAGTTTGAGACTTTGGAAAACAGCATCCGAAGTGTCGAAAGCGAAAGCCATGCTATGAAAGACAGGTTTTCCACGCTCCAGCAGACAGGGACAGGGTTCACGGACCGCATCAAACTGTTACAGGAATCGTTGGATGGCCAGATACGAAATTGGAACTCGCTGCGGACGGATGTCTCCGCTCTGAAATCGGAACTTGCGACCTCTTTGGCGCAGAGTAGCAATGAGGATCTCCGTGCCCAGCTTCAGGAGCTTCATGACAGAGTTGAGAAATTCACCTCCGAAACTGCGCGTGAAAACAAGGCTCGCGATGGATTGCTTGCCGAAGAGATTGAACGAATCAACCAGGATTTGAGCGACAGGATCGACGAAATCCAGCATGAACTCATGGAAGTGGAAAAGGCTTCTAAAGCTCAACTATCGGCTCCTTCGCTTTCAACCGAACATCTACAGAAGCTCGAAATTCTGGCAGGTCTGCAACCCAGACTCCGTGAGCTGGAGGCTGGTGTAGGCAGGTTACAAAAAGGACTCGAAAAGAATATCCACATGATTCAGTGGCAAACTCATCGCTTCGACAACCTAACTAGTGAGACTCTCGTGCGCCAGATGATCGGCGTTTTGAGTCCAATACTCCCTAAATTCGAACAAGGGCTTGTCAAAGTCGAAGCCGAGATCATGCAGATACAGAGGAAGCTTGCAGAGCCGATGGCGAAGGTAGACGCCCCCCCGCCTGAGAATGAACAATCGATTAAGGCATTTGAAGAAGGTCTTGCTCTGGCAAGAACAGAAGCCAAATTGGAATACGAATCTCTCGCATGCGAATTCCGCACAACATGTGACGAGGTTATGGTCAACTTCCGCAGGCTCGAAGACCTGCAAAATCAGTCTGAGAGTCAACTTGCAACATACCGTTCTACGACAGAAAAGAAGATCAGCGACATTGAGGGACAGTTGGACTCTTTGCGTATGATGTTGTCCCGGAAGGATAGCTCTCCAACATCGTCACCAAGCATAAGAAGAGCTCACTCGACATTATGCCTTAACAACAAGGGGAACGCAACGCCATCCCGGCAAAAGTCTTCGGTTATTGAACGATCAAATCAGGACACAATCGTGTGTCTTCAAGAGCCTGACGGCGGTGGGAAGGTCACTGTAGAGCCAGAAGAGCTAGATGCGGACGAGATTGGGAAGGAGGCTTCCATTCTACTTGAAAGTTTTCAGAAACAGCCTGGACGAACCTTGGGCCGGATGAAGAGTACCAAGTCAGCCAAGATAGGCGCTAGAACGCAGCCGCCGACCAAACGTAAACGAAATGACAGCGATGAGCTCGACGATGCCTCTGGTTCAGGATCGCCGACGCCAGAGGACACCGTGTTGGTGCAGCCGCATCTGCAGCCACGGGCGGCGAAACGCAAAAACAAACCAAACGATAACTGATCTTTTTTTCGAGCCGCGTTGTAGACGATGGATTATTCTTCTTGATGGGAGCGTTTAGCAAGCGGGGCGACATTGGCTTCGGAGTTTGTGCTTTCGGGAGGTTTTGTTGTAGGAAGGTGACACGCTTCTGACAGCGACCATGGAACTCTATCGAGCATTATGCGTGCTGTATAGGCTGTATAATTCATGCGCAAGCACGGGCATCTGCTTGAAGCGACCTCCTATTTAGAGCTCGAGGACGGGTTTATCGAAGTGAGTTGAGGTTTTCGCAACATCGCTTGTGTAATTAGGTATCCCTAGATAGGACGATCTTTGCAGCTCCTATGCCTCCCTCTAACTGTCAAAGGTTGAAAATGTTCCATGTTCTGTATTAGAGGGGGATGGGGGAGGCCCAAACTACCTATATAGTGCCTATACCAGCCTTCTGGTTAAAGGACAAGGCTGGGAATGCCTAAGTTAGTTTGACACTAACTAGTTTCCTAGGAGTAGCCGTAGCCTGCCTTCGCTATTATTACGAACCAAAGATGCCGATTGCAACCAGGATTGGCAAATATTGCTATCATTGTACTCCGTACTCCGTACACCAATTCTTAGCGTTGGGGGATACCGCCGAGACTTGTAGTCGAGGCTTAGGGGAATGCTCCTCGAATATTGATAGTAGTAGAGAGGTGCCATCGCTCCCTGCTCTATGTAGTGATATACATCTGCACCCGTGGCCTGCTATACGAGGCAAGTTGACATGCCGGGTGGGTGCACGAGAAAGTTGTCAATAAGCCAGGCCATGCTCGAGTTTGTGACTCGGTCGTCCAATTTCAGCCAATGCTGGTTTGTAACACTCGTGTCGTTGACCCAGGCATTTGACCCATTGGTCGCGGTAATGCTGTTATATCCGTAGTCATTCGCATAGGCCAGAAAAGGCCGCAACCCGATTTTTGCAAACTTGTCAAGGCCTAGAATCCCGTACAGGACGGTGATGGGATCCCAAGTCTCACGGGCAACGGAGCCGCGAGCAACGTACCACTGGTAGGCGGAAACGACGGGAGAGTCGGACGGTGCTTCGTTCAAACCTCTCTGCCCGGAATATATGCTGCCGCCCAGTTCGCCGCCGGAAAAGGTCACCGCCACCGTTTCCGGCCAGTTCTCAATGACATAGATGGTGCTGTTTGGGTCGCTTCCCCCGAAGTTGTACTCCCAGCCAGAAGGATATTGACCTCCCATGATGATCAACTCACTGACCTTGGCTGTCAGTAGCTCGACACCCCCCAGCGGGCTTAAGTCGTCCGCTTCTGATCGCATCAGGTCCGCGATATTGGTGAGGAATCCGATGGAGATGATGTGTAGACTGTGGTTGTCGGCAGAGGCGAGAATCGACCGGTAGAGCTCGACAGGGGTAGGTGCGAGAGAAGCATTGGTGAGAGTTCCAGGCCAGTTGTAGGCCACTTTGCTAGCATATTCGCCTCTCCTGTGTGAAACAGTCAGCGACATGTGAGCCTCTGCTTCTTGATCGCGAGCGTGCAGCATACACGTAATCCCAATCGTCGAAGAAAGTCTCATTTGTCAAGGGACGGATCGCAGCGACCGGTACATCTCCGTTCCCAAAGTATGAGCAGATGGCCTATTTGGTGAATGGGTTTGGTTTCAGTTATCTTTGGACTCGAAAAATGTCGGCAGGACGGAGACAACGTACGCTAGCTGCTGGAGCACCGTACTGTGACTGGGTGTTGATGGCAATACCTTTAAGCTCTGCTAGACCGCAGTTGTGCAGAACGTTGGCAATTGTCAACGCACCAACATCATCAACATCGCCGAACAGGTCGGTGTCAATGATGATGGGCTGGCCCGAAGTAGCTGTAGCTGCAACCGCAACCGCAGCAAGTACGAGGCTGCTTGATAGCAGGAATGCGGTATGAGTTGCGACTCGCATCTTTACGGCATTTGTACCGACCAAAAAGAGGGTGTATACACAACGAAGGGGGCGACATGTTCTTCTTAAGCTCACACCCGTTCGCCTTTGCCGACGTTGATGCAGAATTCCTGAGGAGGCTTCTGAAGGTCCGAAATGGATTATGGTGTGGGGCTAAGGGCTCAGGCTTGACGCTCACTGATACTAAGATCCGTACGAGATTTTGTAGACATCTGAGATGGGTATCGACGATATCTAAGAATAGACATTGGATAAAAAGCCTTGCTTCACGATAAGACTGGTCAGGGGAAGTCAAGGCACTGTCGCGCGAGGCTGAAGGTCCCTCGTACGATAAGTAATGCAATGCAATTGGACGATAAGCCCCGTGGGTGAGCGGGTGAGTCGGTGAGCCGACTGTCAGGACTCAGCCTTATCGAACATCTTCCTGATTTCGGTCTCAGAAAGGGCCATCTTGGGCCCCGATCGCAGGAAAAGCAGTGGTGCGACATGTTTCCCGACCGATCCTTGGGGCTCCTTAGGCCTCGGCCTTGGCCTCGTTGGAACATGCAGCCAGGGTAATATATTTTGTTCGCATCTCGTCCTCAAAGGAAGGTTGGAAAACTTTCAGCTCTTCAAGACGTAATTTCTTTAATATCACATCCTCAGCCGTTCCCTGGCCTGGTCTGTCTCGAGCACGGATTCTGTTCATCCTCTTCATCAGCGCTCGTGACTCTTTTCTGTTGCATTGCGGCCACTGCACTGCCATGGCGGCACCTACCAAGTACTTGGAGCGGCCCATTCCCTCCATCTCCCTGGCCGACTTCGACTCTCGCATCGACGAGATCACACAGCAACTGTGCTCGGCAGCCGAAGACGTCGGGTTCTTCTGCGTCTCCGACCACGGCATCCCTTTATCCTCCATCGACGACATGTTCGCCTGGTCATCCCGCTTCTTCTCGCTCCCGGACCCTCTCAAGGCCACGGTCTCTTTCTCCAACAATGCCGGGTGGGAGAAGAACGCCCAGGTGCGGCCTAGCACGGGGGCCGCGGACCGTAAGGAATCCTACCAGATGCAGTTCGGCGCCAACATGGACGGGAAATGGCTCCCCGACGCTACGCTGCCCGGGTTCCAAACCTCCGCGCTCCAATTCATGCATCAAGTCCAAGCCGTCTCGGAGAGGCTGATGACCTGTTTCGCACGAGGCTTGGGCTTCGACGACAACTACTTTGTGCGCGCCCACGACGTCAGCCGCCCGGAATCCCAGACCGTGTGTCGCCTGCTGCACTATTTCGAAGTGCCGGCAAACCCGGGCGAGGTGTGGCATCGCGCAGGGGCTCATACGGACTGGGACCTCCTGACGCTCCTGTTCCAGAAAGAGGGCCAGTCGGGTCTAGAGATCTGCCCCGGCCGGGAGGTCAGCACGTCTTTCGGCCACGGCGATACCTGGACCAAGGTCGAACCCTCGGCGGGCCAAATCATTTGCAACATTGGGGATCTGCTCATGAGCTGGTCCGACGACCGGTTCAAGTCGACGTTCCACCGTGTGAAGGCCCCGACGGAGCCGGGCGACTACCACGGCGAGAGATACAGCATTGCCTTCTTCAACCAGCCCTGTCACGATGCGCTGATCCAGGGCCCAAGGAAGAAGTATCCGCTCGTGACAGGCGCCGAGTTTACGAAGAATGCAATGGACTTGTATTATTCCAAGACGTTAGAGAAGCAAAAAAGGCAGCTCCTCGAGGAGTCGTCGACCAGTGTTCCGGTCAGGATCTAGACGTGGGAGGGGAAATCGTTGAACGGAGTGAGTAATGCTGACTTCTGTTGGGAAGAATCAAAAGTGGCTATATACCTTCCAATCTAGGAAGTATTCTATTGTCTCCAATCCATTTTTATCTCAAACCTTGATGGAAGAGCCGAAAGACTGCAACGGCGACCATGCGTGCGGCTTGGCCGTACAATCGGTCGGTCGGTATCTGTCGTAGCATGAGGAAAGGAATGGAAGGGAAATTATAGTAATACATAGTAACGGGTCGAAGTCCATCTCAGCTTCCCTTGGAGACTCTTCCGGGCAGCGGGGGCCCTTCACTGCACTGAGTTCTGACCCAAAGTCCCTGACAGGATAGGAGTGTTGTCACTTAATGAGATGGTGGCTGCTCTAAATACGTCGGAGGAATCAAATTGAAATGAATTCCAATCTCTCTAAGCATTAAGATTTCGAAGCGGGTCCGGCCCGGTCATTGTTCCTGTCCAACCCAGGAAGCAAAGTCCAACGGGCGGGCCCACCCATCTATGGACTTCGTTGATGCTCTTCCATCTGAGGCAGGGACATGGTGGCGCTGGCCCTTCCAGAACCAGCGCCAAACAGCATTTCGTCCAGCTCGCTCTTGTCCATGGGGAAGATGAGATTCAGGAAGACGCCGATGACAGCGGCAATGATGAACGGGGTCTCGACCACCAAATTAAGACCCTGCTCGAAGCCCTGCAGGCGCGAGTTCGAACCACTGTAATCGAGGATTTGGTTGAACCAGGTCGGGGCGACGATATCCATAAATCCAATGGCGAGTGAGATGGTCAGGATGAAGCGATTCCGTCGGGTAAATTGGACCATGCCGAGGACTCGGATGCCGGCAACAACGATGGTACCATAGAGGAAGACTTGCATCCCACCCAGGACCGACGGCGGCATGGCCGAAAAGACGGCGCCGAATTTGGCAAAGAACCCCATGAGAACTAGGAACACCGAGGCAGCCCATCCGGCCCGACGGGACTGTGGATTTGACTCACCGTCAGTAACCAGAGCATCTTCTCAGCGACAGTACGGAGTGGGAGCGGGCAGGAACATAAAGGAAGGAGAAAGGGGCTGGGGGAGAAGCTGGGGGAGAATGAATGTGCCCTTACCGCGCAACCGGTCAGAACAATGACGCCGTTGTTCCCCGCCTGTGAAACCATGGGCCCAGCCGTGCCCAGGGCACTGAACAAACTGCCCAAGCCGTCGCAGAGGATTCCACCCTGGATTCGACTGTTAAAATGCGTGCCCTCGACCTCGACATCGGAGATTTCGGCCGTGGCGAGAATGTCCGGCATACAGCTCACACCCTGGCAGACGAACATGATGAGCAATGGGAGAACGAGAGCTCCATCGACCGACAGTTTGAAGGTATGGACCCAGAGGAAGGTGACCACGGGGGCCGAGTCGATGTTCTCTCTGGACCAGTAGCCCGTCGCGCCAGAGACGGCACATCCCACCGCCAGACCGATCAAGACCGACGCAGACTTCATGATAGGAGCACCAAACTGCTCGACGATCACGATGCTGACAAAGACGCTGAACCCGAGTCCGATCAGCTTGGGGTGCGCCCAAGGGAGCGGTTTTGGAGCGGCTATGTTCGGGCATAAGGCGTAGAAGCCATCGCCGCCGTTGCAATTCGAAGAGCCCCCCCAGTTCTGCATGCCATTGCTGATCAAGAAAACCCCGACCAGCAGCAAGAGGGTCCCGGTGATCATCTTGGGGAAGATCTTGTTGAGAAGCCGGGGGGGCACGAGCGACATGAGGATCTGGATGAAAACCGTGCAGAGCATGGTGCCGAGAAACGCCCCCCACGCGTCGGGGCATGGAAGTTGTGTTCCATCGTCGGCGACTGGACACGTCCCATTGTTATAGCGCATGCTGGTGTAGGAAAACGCAATGGGAATGATATCGAACGTGGGACCGACGACCGATAAGAGGCCGGTGCCGATATAGAATGGCGTGCCTTTGATATGGACTCGAGTGACCTGGATGGCGGTGGCAATGCCCGTGGTGATGAAGGCGGCCGACACGAGATACGAAATCTGGGCCGGGGCGAGATGGAAGGCTCCCGATGCGACCGCCAGCGGGGGCGACACGATCGAGCCGATCATGATCAGCGCATGCTGCAGGCCGAGAATGATGGTCAAAAGGATGGGAACCCGGTCATGCAGGCCGTAAAACGGGATGGCCTGGTCCTTGTATTTCCGGTTGAAGGGGGGAATGTTCGGCGTGACGAGGTACCAATAGTCATAATCGCCCAGCCAACCGTCTCTCGAGCTGACATAGGCAGAGAGTTGAGTGACCTTGTCGCGGAAGCTGACCTTGTCGGTCGTGCCTAGAGCTGTGGCTTCGTAGGGCGTTGTGATGGAGGAGTCCACCGCCATCTTGCTGTCCCGCTCCTCCGTCGGCGTTTTGGACATCTCCATCGGACGGACGACAGGCGCCCGGGACGGAGGGAGATGGAGAATGCGGTGTGAAAGTGGCAAGTGGGTGAGTTGGATGTTGGATGTTTGTGGATTGAGGACACACCGGGGGGAGAATGTGTGTTTATATGTATCCCAATTTCTTGGACTGATAGCCACCACTATCGACCATAGACTCTCGAGAGCCAGTACGAGACAGGCTCTCGGCGATCCGAATTCGGGTTTGCATATCTTAGAACGTTCCTAGGACGTACCCGGTGTCTGCGAAGTTCTCCTTATCGCTGATTTGTCAACTGCAGACTGAGGCTCAGCCTGACGGCGCGATAAGGCAATCAATAAGATCTCGTACTGGATCTCGCACAGAGTCGTGAATATGATTGGACGGGAGGCCCGATGAATCTGTGGCCGGTGACCGATAAAAGCTTGGAATAAGCAAGCGCCGGGCCGGTAGTCTGTATACCCATGATAGGTACTCCGTACTCCGTACTTCGTACAGTATCAATGATGGCGGGGGCATCCGATTATCCTTCCTAATGAATTCAATGTGACTCTGTTGCAGATCCGTTTGAACGTCCAGCGTCCACTCTTGCGGCCTCTCTAACTAACTACAATTAAGCTGATTGCCCTCTGCCATCTGCAAGCTTGGATCCGGGCAGTCTTCTAATATCTCGCTGCAGCTGCATCCATCCCGCAGGAGTGGCAGTGCCCATCGACTCAGAGTATAAGAATGGCGGCGTTCACCATCCCCACTATCGACCTCAGTGCATACTTGCAACACCCTGACTCGTCGGATGCAGACACGGTCGTCGAGCAGATCCGGACCGCCTGTGCCACCAGTGGCTTTTTCCAGCTCGTTGGACACGGCATTCCAAAGCAGCTCCAAGACCAGGCATTCGCAGCTGCCAGAACCTTTTTCGACCTTCCCGATGAAGAGAAGCGTAAGCTCAGCGGCAACCCCAGCCGCGGCTACGAGCTCATTGGAACTCAATCCCTCGAGCATGGGAAGAAGCCCGACTTGAAAGAGGTGAGTCTCGGAAGGGGAAGTGCGAGTTCAGGCCCTGACAGATCTATCAAAGGGCTTCTTCATTGGGCGCGAGGTGTCCGGCTCCGGCCTCGTCCCAGTACCGCCGTTCCGCCCCTTTCAAGAGCCGAACGTCTGGCCGAGTACAGACCTGGTCCCTGACTCGCAATTCAAGACCCCTCTGCTGGAGTACCATCGCGCAGTATTAGATCTGTCATTCAAGCTGATGCGGATCCTCGCATCCGGCATGAAAAATTTCGACACCAGTGTCTTCGCCGAATTCTGTCATGAGCCCATTGCGTCGGTCCGACTGCTTCATTATCCTCCTCACCCGGAAACCGACGATCCGAGTCTCGTAGGTGCCGGGGCACATACGGATTTCGGGGCCATCACACTCTTACTCCAAGATGGCAATTCGGGGCTGCAGGTGTTGAACCAGGAGACGAACGACTGGGTGGACGTGGCGCCGCGGGAGGATGCTTACGTGGTCAATATCGGAGACATGCTGGATGTCTGGACCGGCGGCGCTTACAAAAGCACCGTTCATCGAGTCATCAACACCTCGGGCGCGGAGAGATATTCCATCCCCTTCTTCTTGGATGGCAATCCCGACTGTACCATCCAATCTCTGGACGCATCGGGATCGGCAGGGGAAGGAAAGACCTTTACTGTAGAGCAGCACATGTTGTCACGCTATGCTGCCAGCTATAAAACATGACATCCGAATGGAGAAGCCATAAAACCCGGGAGTGTTTCATAGTCTCACATGTTTAGAACTGTTGTAATCAAGTTCATGGTGAGTGATGGCGAATCCTGCAGGGTGTAGACAGTATCTATTTGGTACGTGACATGTGCCTGCACTGTCCTCTCCTATCACTCAACGATAATTTCGTTTGAGCTTGCTGTGAATCTGACTTTTGTTGCGTATCCTCCTGATCGTCCTCAGGGCCTCTTCTCTAATCTGCTGTTCGTCACACTTGACGAGCCTCCCGCCATCTACCAAGACTTCCCCCTGGACAATCACCTTGTCTACATCGGCGCCCGAGCACGAGAAGACCACAGCCGTGACAGGGTCGATCCCGCCCTCCAGCACCTGCTGTGGGTCAAAAGGCGCACAGTGGAGACCGGACGGATCGATGACCACGAAATCCGCCTGCTTGCCGACTTCGAGACTTCCAATCTCCTTCTCGAGCCCCAGCGCTTTGGCCCCGTTGATGGTAGCCATGGTCAGGACTTGTTCGGCCGTGATGGCCGCCGCATCTTGTCGGGAGCCTTTGTGAACGAGGGCCGAGACCCGCATCTCCTGAATCATGTCGTACGTATTTGCACACGGGGCGCCGTCGGTCCCCAGACTGACGTTGATCTTCTCCTCCAGCATTTCGGGCACGGCAGCAATCCCCGAGCCCAGCTTACAATTGCTGCTCGCGTTGTGTGCAACGGTGGCCCCGGTCTCACGTAACAAGGCCAAGTCCTTGCCGAGGTCGAGATTCACCATGTGGGCGAGGACGGTCTTTCTATCTTGGCCGATCAGATTCGTGCGGTAGCAGAACTCGACCGGGCTGCAGTTGTAACTCTCTCGATAGATGATCAGATCCTTGGGTGCTTCGGCGCAGTGCATGGTGAGACCCATGTTGTGCTCGGAACAGGCATCTCCAATGGCCTTATGGGCCGACTCGGCTGAGCCCCGAGGAGTGCCGGCGGCCATCCAGACATGAAGCCGTCCGCCGCAAGAGCCGTGATACTTCTCATGGGCGGCGAGAGCGGCCCCTATCGACATGCTAGAAACATCTCGGTCTCTAGGGTCGGTCAGTCCAAATTTGTTGGTCTCTTCGACCTTGACGAGCTTCCCCTAGATGTGAAAATTCAAAAAGTCAGCACTCGAAGCGTCAAGACAAATGGCAATGATAATCATAATCATAGTTTCACATGTGAAACCTCCTACCAGGCATGCTCGGATTCCCATTTCCTCCACGGCTCGAGCAGCATTCTCAAACCCGCTCCGATAGGTGAGCAGGGCCTCCAGGAAGCACGTGGTACCACTCTTCAACATCTCAGCCATAGTCAGCCGGCTGGCAACATAGCCATCGTCGCCCTCATAGTTGGCCTCGAGGGGCCAGATCGAGTCGCACAGCCAAGAGTGAAGCGGCACATCCTCTGCCAGGCCGCGCAGGATGGATTGGCCGAGATGAGCGTGCGTGTTGATGAGACCAGGGACGATGATTTTGCCCTGGCAATCCACAATCTTCGCTGCGGGATGCAGCAGGAGAGGGTCCTCTAGTAGTGAAGCTGTTTTCCCGATCGCAGCTATTCGGTTCCCATCGATCAAGATGGCTCCGTCCAGCCAGATTGTTCGCTCCGGGTTTACTGTGATGATGGTCGCCTTGGTAAATAATGTTGGTCTGGAATCCATGGTCGACTCTGGAAGAAGGAATCTCTCCCACAAACTTGACGGACGGAGTGGGAATTCCTCTCTCTTTTCACCAAGAAGTGTGGTAAAATCGAAAACTCCGCGAGAAGGTGGGATTTGTACGTCTGGAAATATTCAATGTGGGCAGTCGGACTACACACAGTAGCCATCCGAATCAGTACGGATACAGTTCTGGACGCTGTATGGAGTACAAATATTAATAACGTCTACAAATCATGTCTGTCCTGATCTGATGCCTTATCGGCGCTTCTTCCCGCGCCCTGACCGTCGGTCACCGACTCATCGGGTTTCCAGTCCAATCATGTTCACTCACGACTAAGAATTAAACGGATAGTCCACCATTCCTTAAGCTTCAGGCCTATCATGTCAACGGTAGAGGTGGCTACTCCGCACTGTGGGTATGATTCGCGGGAACGCGATAAGCTGTCAAGGCTCTTTGAGGATTAATTAGTACGAGTATGATCATGTACGAGATACAGCACTTATCGATACTACGACTACGACCCAATACAGTACGAATACTCTTTCTTCCTCTTCCTCTTCCCCGTCCCCGTCCCGATATCAAAGTCGCCCGCCTTCGCTTCGGAATCAGATGGCCAAGCCACGTGCGAGAAAGACGTGTACAGAATGCAGTTTACGGCGGCAGCAATGCGATCGGCAGTTACCGTGCGGGCGATGCGTCAAGCGGGGGATTCCTGATAAGTGCCAGTTGTATTGGGAAGGGGGAAGATACGATCCTGCAAAACATCGGGCTTACCCTTCGAAACAACGTCAATTGAGGCCGACTCCGCCGGTCAACAGGACCAGGGGGAACAGGGCAGACCAGTCCCCCGGTTGCGGCCTGCTCCCAGGGTTAGCCGGCCCTGGCGCTGCAACAAGCTCTGAAGCTGCGGAAGTCGGGCAATTGGCCAGATCGAACGTGCCATGTCCACGATATGTCTTCACGCCGTACGAGCAGGCACGGCTCCGGAAGAGCACCACTGCCGAAGTCGCTGGTGGGAATGGGATCAACTTGTCTATCTTCTCTTCGACTGCTTCGGCCTCAGGCTCGGGCGCCTACGCCACTGCTGCCGCACATGAAGCGTTTCTACAGATGCTGCTGCCCAGCCTGGATCACATCTGGAAGCTTGTTGATTATCATGAAGTCTATCTCCTCTGGTATCACTGTTGCTATCATGGACCGACCTTCAGGTCGGAACTCGAAAGTGTGATTGCTGAGCAGGAAGATAAGACGACCTTGAACGTTAGCAGACTCCATCTGCGATGGCTGGCCCTTCTCTTCTCCATCATGGCGGGCAGCTTGACCTGCACGTCCGACCGGCGGCTGAGGGAATGGGGGTTTTCCAAGTCGGAAGCCGTCAAGTTATCGATGCAGTGGTACAAGGCGGCCATCTCCAGTTTGAATCATGGCGAGTGGACATCCGACCACGATATGTACTCGGTGCAGGCCGTCACAACGTTAACCATGTCCGCCCACTCACTTGGCCGCTCTGCCGAACTTTCGGTTCTCCTAGGAGCCGCAACCAAGATCGCCCAGTCTCTTGGACTAGACCGGCTGGACTACAAGCCGGCCCTGGACGATATCGACGAGAATTCCTCCAAAGCCCAGCAAGACCGTGTGTTGAGGCGGGAGCTTGGGAGGAAACTGTGGTCTCAACTGTGCGTGCAAGACTGGATGTCCCTTCCGTTTGCTGGCAGTCACAACATCGATCCGTCTCATTTCACCACCACGAGACCATCCAGCCGGAATCACCTGACCATGGAGCCTTTTCCGACCACGTTCCCAACGTACATCAGCTACGGAAACTATCTTTTCGACATCGCCAAATTGGTCGTGCAGCACCGCAAGGCAATGCTTCAGTCCACTACCCCCTTCACCAAGTACCAGCATGTCCTACACTACGACACCCAAATGAGAGACCTGGCGACCAAGGGGATGCCTAGGTATTTTCATGTGGTGGAACCGGTTGATGCTTTGTGGCCAGAATGGGTTCATTGGGCACGATCCAGCCTCACCGTCTGTTTCGCCCATAAGATCATCATGATCCATCGCGCCTACATTCGACAGAGTTTTACCAATCCCGTCTACTCGAGGACACGCATCACCTGTACAGCTGCAGCGAAGACGATCCTCAACGAGGCCAAGAAGGCCAAGGACTTGGACGGTCCGATCATCTGGATCGACAAGGGCTTTTGCGTGGTCGCTGCGATTATTCTTTGTCTTGATATCTTCCATCGCTCTGAATCCGACCCGGAGCTGGCGACTCATAAGGACCTGGTCTTGGAATGTATTGAACAGCTTCGAATGTTCGAAAGCAGTGTCATTGCCGTCCGAGGAGCCAACTTGCTGACCGAGATTCTTGCCGAGAGGGGCCACGCCAGCTTTAGCCCGGGCCTGCGGCCACAAAGCATCGATTCATCTAAGAGTTGGCTTTCAGTCTTGACAACACCGACTCCAGACGAGTCTGCTCCAGGTCTCCCGGGGCTGGAATCCAAGTCCAAGTCGTCGGCAGAGTTGTTCCCCCCTCAAACCGGCTTCAGCAATGAATTCTTGTTCGAAAATCTTCTGGGCCACAATACCACCACGAGATCGGGAGAGTGAGAAAGAGCAACAACATCTTTGCCGCCCTGACCACTTGCCCTCAAAGAGTGGCTGGGAAGAATTGACGTTACATTGACAAGCCCTCCCTCTCCACCCTCGGGCCTCTATTTATCTGCTCGGCTCACACCGATCGCCACTGTACACTGTATACCGGGGCTGAAATGACGATAGAAAACAAGAACGACGAGGTGGTAGGCCGGGCGGGCGGCGGCGTATGTAGATATCCAAGTAGAAAGGCTCGGGCTCAAAAGCGGCGAGGGATCCGATCGAATCTGGAGAATGCATGCTGACAACGAATGGGGTTTCCCATCCTGGCCTAGTGTGAGGTCTAACCAATCCGGTGTGTTAGCAGCTAGCTAGTCGGAGTCAGCAGCATGTAACATGAGCCGCCAGCAACCTTGTCTCCCTGCTCATTTTCTTTAATCAATGATATCTCTCTCTCATTTACCTATCATTAGAAAGGCCGGCGCGTCGATTCTGCTCGCAGTTCAGTTGGGCTGCCACAGGCATCATTGAACAGTGCCAGGTCACGAGCCTTAGTTAGGCTTTGGCTGCCGTCAGCCTTGTCTCGTCGACCAAGTCCGAATGGCTTCCACTCCGACTCCAGAGCCAGATCTGGAAGAAGGCAATTCTGGCCCCAAGCACCATCACCATCCTCACCCTCACCATTTCCGCCAGGATGCGCAGGCGCGGGGGAGGCGTCTGCTTGAGCTGGGAGGCAAGACTCTTCACATCTGCCAGTTTCCCGAGCACATGGAGCAAAAGAGAACCGAGCTCCTGCGCGAGAAGACGGTCGACGAGTTCGAGGTGATTCTGCATGGCTCCGCCGAGCACGTCGAAGCAATCCGAAAGTTGCATGCTCACCAGGAAGCGAAACGAAACCAGCTGAAGGAGCGCCACACGGAGGTCTATGTCGACATCGAAAATGTCAAGTCCGAATTGGACGCCCTTGCGGCCGAACTTCACCAGGTCACCGCCCACGCAGTCTCGCTCGATGCATCCTTCGACCGCTACGGATATTCCGCTCATCTGAGGACCAAGGATGACGATTCCGAAACCACCTCGTTCCACGGCAGCCACAGCCACCAGTCCGCCGTTGACAAACACAACGACCGTACCACCGAGGCGCTCAAGTTCATCCGCCGTCCAACGGTTCGGCAATACTTCCACAAAGGCCTGCTCTGGAGGTCCGCCAAAGCGGGCGAAGTCGCCTCATTCGAGCTCTTCGTCGACCTCGTCTATGTCGGAGTTATCGACGTGGTGGGTGAAAGAGCTGTCGAACGGCCAAACGGCTTGGCTTTGCTCCATTTTGTCATTGTCTTCACAATTGCTTGGAAGATCTGGTCGGATCTCACCATGATCATCAACCATTTCGACATCGACGACATTTTCCAAAGACTGAACGTCATTTTCTACCTCATCTGCCTGTTTGGCTTCACCACAAATATCGCTTACGCATTTGACTCGACATATACCTCAGCCATCGCCTTCTACATCACTCAGCGACTCTTTGGGGCTTTGTGGTATGTGAGCACGGGGGCTGCCTTGCCTAACATCCGCGGAACGATGGTGGTCATGGCCATTATGGTGCTAATGTCTTGTGCGGTTTGGATCGGAAGCATTCATGTCGGATGGCCTGATCAACTGGCATTGATCTTCATCGCTCTTGCAATTGACACGTTCAGTGGCGTCTTCTTGATCTACCTCGTGAAGAACACGGGCCACAAGACATACCTCAAGTCAATCGAAAAGTACTTTGAGTTCTTCCCGGCCATCAACATCGAGCATCGCGTCGAGCGCAATAATGCATTTGTGTCCCTGGTATGCTGGTCTGCAAAGTGTGGGATGCCCGTGTCATTGACGTGAGGTCTTAGGTCTTCGGCTACTCTGTCCTCACCATCTTGTTCCAATCAAGGGCTTCGTTTGGGATCAACGCATTCTTCGGTAAAGGTGCTCTTGGCCTGATCCAGGCGTTTGTGTTCAACTGGTAATATGAGCAAAGTCTGTGCGCTGGCATCATACTGACAACCATCCAGGATATACTTCGAAATCGACGCGTACAACATCCATGTTCATGCTATAAGACGGCACGCTGTCAGCAGCACGGTCTGGATAACAGCTCATCTTCCATTCATCATGGGATATGTGCTGGCAGCATCGACGCTTTCACAGCTTGTTCTGGCTCACGACTGTGCTGGCGCCAATCCGGAAGATCTAGGAGAGAATTACCAAGGACGAAGCGATTCCGAAGTCGCCAAAGCACTCCGATGGTTTTACTGCTGCGGACTAGGGATCGCATTGTTAGCGATGGCTGTGATCTCATTCTGTCACATTCATAAGCGGCTCGCCAACGCTCGGCTCCGGAAACGACCACGACTAGCCGTTCGGGTTTGTGTGGCGATCATCATCATTTGCTTACCTCTGGCGGACTCGCTCTCATCTTTGGATCTCATTTCGATCACTACTGCGCTGGTTTGTTTTATATTGGCACTGGACCTCTTTGGCAACTCCTGTGAGGGCGACAGTTTCTGGACGGGTGGCTTCTGCGTGCAGGAGAAGAAAAACTGCGTCTACACCGCTAATTGCAAACTTGGAAAGAGAAGACAGCGAGAGCTGGAAAAGGCAATCCAGCGCGGGGAGAAGGTGTCTTTGGCGGATGTGCTCAAGAGGAATTCGAGCATGAGTAGCATGGAGAGTGAGGAGAGTAGAGTGGAGAAGTGGCATGGGGGACACTATTGAAGATGTTAGTCTAAGATTAGATTGTAAACCCTGCCCTTGTTGTCGATAAAATTGGCTTGTTGCACGGGTCCTTATCCAGACCTTGTGACGCATTATTGCTTACTGTCGAGCAGACAACATGCTCTGGATGCAATATGATGGCTTCCTCAATCTCCTGGGTCACAGGTGGATTCGACGATTCGACGATTCGACGAGTTGACGAGTCGAGGGCGGAGGACTAGACGAAGGCAGGAGAGTAAAACCTGTCAAGGTTACAAAGACCGCACGACTCCGCACGGCCTGAGATTGAAGCGTACGTGCTGAAAGTCCGGGACCCTGTCAGGGTAAGGTTGAATCTAGGCTGGTGATTGACGACGAGGAGGGTGTGCTTGAGGGACACCGCGAGGAAGTATGTAGGCTGGTGTGCAATTGCTAAACATGTCAGTACATTTCCCCATTTCAATGGTCGCCAACCTTGGGTTCTTCCTGGGTCGCTAGACAAGGTCAATTGAGGCTGAGGCCTGGTCAGCGTCAACGGCTTCCACTTGTTATCGCTTGTACAGCCTCGAGCCAGGACCCCTGTCCCTGCTATACTTTGGGGACAAATGGCGTCAATGAGTTCAACTGAATGCTGGTGTCAGGGCCCAAGGTTGACAAACACATCCTGGGGTGTAGGACTTGAAGTGCGGTTAATGGAAACGGTGAGCCAAATCCCTCGGAAAGGAAAAACAATAATCCAGATCCGGGGGTTCTTCCGAGTTCCGACCGCCTATGTGGGATTATGATTGGATGATTTGTATCGCCTGGAAAAGTTGATGTGAAATGAACTTCAACTTGTCAGTCCTGTTTCCAGTGACCCTGTGGCCGACCTCGTATAGACTTGACGATTCATGCACGGGCGGCGTTGTGGGTTCTTGTTTCTCCCGGACTTCTCCTCTGCTAGATCGAGTTCCGTAGCACCTGTTTCCTTTGTTTGCGCATTCTCCAACTTTCTTACACATTGCGCAGCGCTCCTACCCTCTGCACCGTCCGCGGGTGCATTTCGAGGCAGTCACGATCCGGGCCTTGGGCCTTGACAAGCTGTCGTCACCTGCGACTGCCTCGCTCTCACTTTCACCTTTATAATTTCTCCTGTCACGATTTGGACTTTCTTCTTCCGCAATACGATGCAGCCTCTCCTTACCCGGCTCCAAAATCATGGCGGCACAGGTTCTCTTCCTTGAACCATTGAAGACCCTCCACGAGACTAGGTCCGACGAAGAATTCGGTGCGTATCTGCCCCATCCAGCCGTGGCCTCGATTACTGACCGCGTCACCCCAGTGCGGGCCTTTGTCGTCGAGATCCCTGCCAAACTCACAAGCAAGGCTTTGAGGTAAGATGTTGTTCGGCAGCTAGCATGTCTCAAAGTCAAGGCTGACCGGCACGAGCAGCATCATCAAGCCCATCATTCCATCCGGCGGCAAGCATCCTTCTTTCAGCCATCTCCGACGCCTTTGCACGTTGTCGCACCTACCTCTGGACCTGACATGGCGTCGGGACTACGACTCTAGAGGCCTTCAAACCGTCTTCCTTTTGTTGCCAAACACCGTGGTTGCATGGGAAGACATACAGGCTACGCTCATGCCACACATCGACGTCGAAGGCCTTCCCCGCTGCTTCGATGCTGTTGTACCCCGGTTCGCTCCACTGAGCGCCGAACAAGCCGCCCTCTGGACCGAACGTTACTGGCCATCGATTTTCAATCCTTCTTCTCAGGTCGTTCAAGATGCTCCGCCTCTCCACCAGCTTCGCCGTGTGCGTACCGCCCTGGAAGTCCCAATTGCAGACAAGTATATGCAGTTGGCTTTCCTAGCTGCGGCTGAATCCCAGCATGCTGGCCATGGACGATCTGTGGGGGCTGTGGTTGTTGATCCAGACACAGGGACTGTTATAGCGGTTGCAGGGGACGCCCGTTGGTGGTCAGAAGATCCAAAAATCCACAAATCCCTGATGGCAAATCACGGCGAGGGACGCCCGGAATACCATGCTGTTATGCGTGTCATTGCCATGGTTGCAAATAAGGAACTCCGCCGACGTATCAAAGCTGGATCCCACAATAAATTCCTGGCCACCTGCTCCGAGACCCCCTCTGGTCAGGCCCTGACTTCTATTGAAGCCCACTATGAAGATGATGACAAGGCTCTTCGTGATCTCACGGCCGGGTTTGGCAACATCATGCTCTCCGACAACGATGCCCTGCCCGAAAAGCAAACAGGATCTCGCACTGAAGGCTACCTCTGCAGCGGCCTCGACCTTTATCTCACGCATGAGCCCTGTGTCTGCTGCGCTATGGCTATGATCCACTCCAGATTCAGGGCCTGTGTATTTGCTCAGAAAATGCCTCGAAGTGGTGGACTCTCTGCCGAAGCTGGGGACAAGACACTGGGGTATGGTCTTTTCTGGCGCCGGGAACTCAACTGGAGAGTCATGACCTTCCAACACACCCGAGTCGCGGGCTTGGGACACGGAGAGCAAATCGACACGGGAATATTCCATGCTTAGGAAGTCAATTATTCGGAATATCGGGCATCATTTTCAGGCGAACTCGGCTACCCTGGTCCAATCGCCGCCGTCTTTTCTACGAAACTCAACTCCTTCACCAAAATAGCCGGCGTCATTCCACTGCTTCATGGTATTGCGGTCATACGGCCCATTAGTGTTCCCGCCGTCACGAGCATCAGTCCACCTGTACTCCCACATTTGTTGAACAGAGTCATCATCACGAGTTTCGTCATCGTCGAGCTTGGGGGGATCGATCCATTCTTCACCAGTTTCATTCTGATATTGTCGAATGAGGAATTCTCTTTCAGCGTCGTAAATCTCAGGCTGACCTCTTGTCAATAAGATGTCTGCTGCTCCCGTGATCGACTCGATCTTTTCTTTTCGCAGCTTCTCGGCTTCGTCGTCTCCATCTTCCATGGATTGATCAGTGGATCCCCCCTGCTGTTTCTTAGTCTTGTTCTTCGTTTGCCGCCTGCGCTTTTTGTCTTGGCCCTTCCCGAGACGAGCAAGAGCTTCGAGGATAGTCTCCCCACGCTCCAGCTGGCGTATTAGCTCGGCTAGAACCTGTGCGGCTGGCTTCGCGTCGTCTTCGAGAGCCCGATTTCTTCGCGCCTCTTCACGTTTCTCCGCGGCTTCCTTGGCCTTGCGCATCGCCTTTTTGGACACCCCTTCTAACCAGACATCATGTTTCGCGTCAGGATCTGCTGCTTTACGAACATAGTTCCCCTGGTCGTCAAACCGCCCTTCTTCTTGTTCAGTCCGCATGTTGAAAGCATCTAGTTTCGGAGCGTGTGACCTTTTAGCGCCAGCCCCCAATTCGGGGTCAAGGTTTCCGGTGCTGGCTCGTAGCTCATCGTCGACTTCGCTTTCACTACTGCTTTCCACCTCGTCTTCATTTGCCCTGCCCTTCCCTTTTCCATGTCCATCAAGACTGAAGTCGGCAGGGACATGGCCGCCGCTCTTGGATGTTTTGATCTGGCCCTCGATCTCATCTTCATCCAAGAAGCGTACAGCCTTTTTCCTACCATCCTTTCTCCCTGCATCACCTTCAGAGTCGTCCCCATCCTTAAATTCCTCCTCTAAATCTGCGAACATGTCATTTGGGTCTTCTTCCTCTTGGGACTTTGTGTTCTTTTCTTTTTCCTTCGCGTCCGCCCGCGCGTTAAAATTGTCGTTGTCCGAGTCCGAATCATAGCCGTCGATGTTGACTGCCCCGCGACGCACTTGTTGCCCCCTAGTGCCAATAACGTCTGCCTCGAGAGTATCATCGTCGTCGGGGGCGTCGGGGGCTAAGGCGGAAGGGTTGCGGACGTCGAATCGTGGTTTTTTGGTAGGCTGCCCGTAGAAATCCTCGTGGTCGCGAGTTCGAACGAAGTCCTCTGCTGCTCGTTTCGAGCGTGCAGAGTTCCAGGCCATATTGTCAATGCATTCGCCCACCAGTGGGGGGAAGAATGCAAAGAGCGACCGTAGTGAGAGAAATTGTAGGATACAGAACCAAGCTTTGAGTTGAGTGGTACATGTACGGAGTACTCTGTACCAAATAATGTGAAGTTTGGGGCAACTTCGGGAGAGGTCCCTTAGTCCTCAGTGCGGCCGACGTCAGAGGACTGCAGCCTCATTTTGTGCTCCGGCCAGTGTCCATCGTCGAGTCTCACGACAGTACTCCGTACTCCGTAAGTTGGCGCATCGTTCGCTGTTTGCTTCCCTACTTATCACACTTCAAACCATTCACTCTTGGGTTTGAAACCCTCCAGTCAGTTTCCACGTGGCCTTGTCCTTCCTTACGAGATCGATCCTCGTCTCTGTACCTGCATGAGAGTCTTCTGCCACCCCGCCTCGTCTCCTGTGCACTCATCTGCACCAGTTCAAGTCTTGGTCGCCGTCAACCACCTCGAAGTCCCACTATCCGAGTACTGTCTCCGAGCACTGGCGATATGGTAGTCACCCCAATACTGTTGCCGACCTCACTGGTTCTGACGATTGCAGGCGTACTACCGAGAAGACATGATGGGCTACCCAGCATTTCTTCGTGGCGCACCCCCGGTTGGCATGTCCATGCGTCGCTTCGACGAATACTATCGCTGTTACCCTGTTGTAATGATGAACGGTCCCGACCGGAAGAATGTGAACTACGGCGGAAAGGTGTTTCTACCGCCATCGGCGCTGGACAAATTAACAAAACTGCACATTGCATATCCTATGTTGTTCGAACTCATAAATGGAAACGCCGTCAAGAGGACGCATGCAGGTGTCCTAGAGTTCATCGCTGAAGAGGGCAGGATTTATTTGCCGCAATGGGTACATCCCTCGATCTGTGTGTTGAAGTCATGCTAATGCCCGACGCAGTTGATGAACACTCTTGACCTTGACCCGGGTGACCTTGTACAGATCAAGTCGACCGATTTACCTCCAGGGAAATTCATCAAACTACAGCCTCAGTCACCTACATTCCTCGATATCTCCGATCCGCGAGCAGTGCTCGAGAATGCCTTCCGAAACTTCTCCTGCCTCACCAAGGGTGACATTTTTACTTTTGAATACAACGACCAAACATATGACATTGCTGTGTTGGAGATAAAACCCGACACAGACTCCCATGCTATCGTAACGATGGAAACGGATCTAGAAGTCGATTTCGCTCCTCCAGTCGGTTATGTTCCTCCTGAGCGAACAAGCGGCACAAGTACTCCTAGAAGCGGCGCTGGGAAAGCCCATGGAGGCCCGATTCATTTCCAAGGCACAATGGCCCAGTCAATCAACTATGCAAGCATAGCACCTTCGTCAAACACTGCTGCAGCGGGTGCTCGAGCAGTTTCCTCAAACTTCCTCTATGGTGGCCACAAACTCAGCTCCAAAAAGGGCTCGAAAGCTCCGACACCGAATGCGTCCACCCCTGTGGCAGGAGCGTCTACCAATGTGCCAACACCCGCAATTATCAAGCGTGGTAATGGACCTCAACCACTGAGACTTCCACCAGGAAAGCTGTTCTTCGGATTCGAAGTGAAGCCGGTACGGAAGCGAAATGAAGGCGAGGAGCCGGTCCCAGATGACGAGGTCAAACCTCGGTTCCAGGGACAAGGGCAGACATTGAGAGCAAAGAAGCGGCCTGCTGGAACGGACAGCGGCGCTGGCAGCGGAGTCAATAGCGATGCGGAAGGGAAGAGCAAAGGCAAGGCCGGGTCTGGGTCCGCAGCCAAAGGACGACGGCCAACGTAAGAACTGCCGTGACGGCGTTGATTTTCGATTCGATTTGTTGATGCACAGCGAGCGAGGGTTCAGGTGTACTTCGGCTTACGTCTCGGATGGACAATAAACCAAGATGGAGTTACGTTGGCTTAGGTAGCTGACCGCCTAGTGATGGCATGGACGAAGTGCTCAAGACGGTGACGGTCTGTCTAGATTTATTAGAAATGAGAGTCCCGTGCAATGGCATTACATGCAGACCTGAAGCATCCCGCCCGGCAGCTGATGCGCGGCTCAGGCCATTACGTCATTCATTCATTCTCAGTTCGACTTTCCCGCTGTGCCCATGCAACGGCAGACTTCGGTCGTCCGTCACACCACGACCGCTCAGAGTCACCGTGGGTTCGTCGTCGTACTCGTCCTCGATGAGATGTAGGCTTCTTACCGTGTTCCTGCGGGTCTTCTCGTTTTCTGGTCTCTTTTCCATCCACCGACTCTTTCTGATCCTACCCAACTGACCAACAATGCCGTCCTCAGTTGACCCGGCGATTCTCCGTGCCTTATCGATCGAGGAGGCGTCCAAAATTTCGAGGCATGGCGGCTCAGGCTTTGCATCCACTTTCCGAATCACGACGCCTTCAACTTCGGTGTTTGTCAAGACCTCGTCCTCGGCCGGGGCGGCCGCCATGTTTGAGGGAGAGCACGCGTCTTTGAACGCCATCCATAACGCCGTCCCCAGCCTGTGCCCCAAGTCGTTTGCATGGGGAAAATTGGACAGCGGCGGATACTTTCTCGCCACCGAGTTTCTTGAGCTAGGAGGCAGTGGGCTGTCAAGGTCAGGCACGAGAGGCCGAAGCGCGGGCCACGGTAGTGGGATCAGCCTGGCCGAGAAACTAGCCAAGCTACATACGACGCCTGCTCCGACCCCCCACGGATACGAATCCGATGCGCCGCAATATGGGTTTCCCGTGACGACTTGCTGTGGTGACACGCCGCAAGACAACACATTCACGTCGTCGTGGGCCGACTTCTTCGCGAACAGACGGCTGCTTGCGATCCTGGCGCGTGGCGAGGAGAACAATGGACGCGATCCCGAACTACGCAGGACGGTGGAGAGGACTGTGCAGGAAGTGGTCCCGAAACTTCTCGGGGACGGCCACCTCGGGGGCAAGGAAGGCATCCGGCCGGTCGTGGTCCACGGCGACCTGTGGTCCGGGAACAAAGGCCAGGGCCGGTTCGTGGGGCGCGACCAAACGTCCGCCGACGAAGCTGGTGCCGTCGAAGACGTGATCTTCGACCCGGCGGCGTGCTATGCCCACAACGAGTACGACTTTGGCATCATGAACATGTTCGGCGGCTTCCCCTCGACGTTCTGGAAGGAGTATCATTCGGCCGTGCCCAAGACCGAGCCGCAGAGCGAATACGCCGACCGCGTCGCACTGTACGAGAGCTATCACCATCTCAACCACTACGCCATCTTCGGTGGCTCGTACAAGTCGGGTGCTATGAGTCTCCTGAATGGCCTGTTGCGGAAGTACGGGGACAAGTGAATCAATCAATTGCACTACGACTGCAGCGGGGTGTTCTTTCTCTGCGGGGCACGTCCCAAGTTCTTCTGAAACTACCATGGTCAGTGACAATGACATTCATGATGGTCACTCTAAGCCCCCTCGCTCGGAGATGAGAGATGAGATCGATATGGGATCGTCTGTCGAATTCCAGGGCCGGTCGCAAGGAATCTTGCAGATAAGCGGAAAGTTGCACTCGCGACATGTGTATACTGCACAGTGCATACTGCTCCGTGCGTACTGGATGGATCGTGGTCATGGGTCCCTCTAGCTTTACTGGGTCAATGAATGCCTTTCCAGGGTACTAATTGGCACCTGTATATACATATATACATATATCTCCATACTCTACGGTCTCCCTATCTATCATACCTCAGACATACAATAGTCGAGCTAATTATTTGTCATATCATATATACGTAGGTACATATATAGATATACATATGGAGATGGGACTACTAGTTGATAAGAGAGACCCGCCTAGTGACCCGCCATTTTGACATCCACCTTTGGCCCAGCCTAGACTCGCTTGATATGTATTGCATTATTATTAATCACATTACATTAAACTATCACATTAATTTTATCTAGTTCTATCTGACTGGCGCTGGTGCTGGCCGGGGGAAAGGGGAAGGGAAAAGGGGGAAGGGTCAACATGTGGAGATGCGGGCGTCTTAGATAGTATACGGATAACTCATCACAAGTCGGATCCGGGATCTGGATCTGGTTCCCAGCGTCGATTGAAGGTTAGGGGAAATCTATATCTATGTCTATATCTATGTCTATGTCTATATCTATGTCTATGTCTATATCTATGTCTATGTCTAT